TGCTTTTGGAAAGATTGCCATTTTTACTATGTTGACCCCATCTATCCAAGAGGATCAGAGATCTTTTCATTTTCTGGCATCTTTAATTTCTTTCTTTAAAGGCTCAAAGTTCTTACTATACAGGTATTTCACTTATTTGGTTAGCATTACCCCCAAGATATGTTATGTTGTTTATGGATATTGTGAAGGGTGATGTTTTTCTGATTTCTATCTCAGCCCACTTATTGTCTGTATATAGTAGGGCTACTGACTTTTTTTTAAAGTTAATTTTGTATCCTGCCACTTTGCTGAAGGTATTTATCAGCTTTAAGAGTTCCCTGGTAGAGGATAGAGTTTTTTGGGTCACTTATGCAAACTATCATATCATATCATCTGAAAATAGTGAAAGTTTGACTTCCTCTTTTCCAATTTGTATCCCTTTGATCTCCTTTTGTTGTCTTATTGCTCTAACTAGAACTTCAAGTACTATACTGAAAAGATATGGAGAGAGTGGGCATCCTTATCTTGTTCCTGATGTTAGAAGAATCACGATGAGTTTCTGTCCATTTAGTTTGATGTTGACTGTTTGTTTGTTGTATATTGCTTTTATTATGTTGAGGTATGTTCCTGTTATCCCACATATCTCCAAGACCTTTATCATGAAGGGGTGTTGGATTTTGTCAAAGGCTTTTCCAGCATCTAGTGAGATGATCGTGTGATTTTTGTTTCTCAACTTGTTTATATGGTGGATTACATTGATGGATTTTCATATGTTAAACCATCCCTGCATCCCTGGGATGAAACCTACTTGATCATGGTGGATGAGTTTTCTGATGTGTTCTTGGATCTGATTTGCCAGTATTTTATTGAGTATTTTTTCATCAATGTTCATGAAGGATATTGGTGTGAAGTTCTCTTTCTTAGTTGTGTCTTTGTGTGGCTTGGGTATCAAGGTTATTGAAGCCTCGTAAAAAGAGTTTGGCAATCCTGATAGCAGTGAGTGAAGTAAGCATATAGGGATGGTTTCCCAGGCCAGTCGGTAGGCACTAGAAAACCAAACTCTCCAATAGAATCCTTTATTCAAATTGAAGGATTATTTCTGTTCCTGATTCAAGTATTTTAAGTCAATAGTGGAATATTTCATATAACACCATTTCATTTACTTTCCTCTGTTGAAAAATAAACAAATGGTCACAAGTTTAAAAAAAAGAGTTTGGCAAAGACACTTCTGCTTCTGTTTCATGGAATACTTTGAGGAGAATTGGTATAAGATGATCTTTGAATTTCTGGTAGAATTCTGCACTGAGGGCATCCGGCCCTGGGCTTTTTTTGGTTGGGAGACTTTTGATGACTGTTTCTATTTCCATAGGGGTTATAGCTCTATTTAAATTGCTTATCTGTTCTTGATTTAATTTTGGCAGGTGATATCTATCCACAAAGTTGTCCATTTCCTTTAAATTTTTGAATTTTGTGGAGTACAGGTTTTCAAAGTATGACCTGATGATTCTCTGGATTTCCTCAGTGTCCGTTGTTATGTCCCCCTTTTCATTTCTGATTTTGTTAATTTGCATGTTCACATTCTGCTGTTGGTGAGTTTAGATAAAGATTTGTCTATCTTGTTGATTTTCTCAAAGAACCAACTCTTTGTTTCATTGATTCTTTGTATTGTTTTCCTGGTTTCTACTTTATTGATTTCAGTTCTCAATTTGATTATTTCCTGGCATCTATTCTTCTGGGGTGAGTTTGCTTCTTTTTGTTCTAGAACTTTTCAGTTGTGCTCTTTAATTCTCTAGTGTGACTATTCTTCAGTTTCTTCATGTGGGCACTTAGTGCTATGAACTTTCCTCTTAGCACTGCTTTCAAAGTGTCCATAAGTTTGGGTATATTATGTCTACATTCTTGTTGAATTATAAGAAGTCTTTAGTTTCTTTTTTATTTCTTCCTTGACCCAAGAATGATACAATTGTGCATTGTTCAATTTCCATGAGTTTGTAGGGTTTCTGTAATTTGTGTTGTTGTTGAGTTCTAACTTTAAAACATGGTGATCCAATAGTATACAGGGGGTTATTCCAATTTTTTTGTTTGTGTTGAGGTTTGCTATGTTGCCTAGTATGTGGTCCATTTTAGAGAAGGCTCCATGTAGCACTGAGAAGGTATATTCTTTTGAGCTTAGATGGAATGTTCTATTGTTGGCTGTTAAACCCAATTTGGTCACAACTTCTATTAGTTCTTTTGTTTCTTTGTTAAGTTTCTGTCTGGTGGTCCTGTCTAGTGGTGAAAGTGTGATGTTGAAGTCTCCCATTGTAATCGTGTGAGGTTTTATGTGTGATTTGAGCTTTATTAATGTTTCTTTTACAAACGCGGGTGCCTTCGTATTTGGATGGACTTTTCCTGTGATGAATATGAAATGCCCTTCTTCATCTTTTTGAATTAGTTTAGTTTGAAGTCTAATTTTTTAGATATTAGGATTGCTACACCAGCTTGTTTATTGGGTCCCTTTGATTGGAAAATCTTCTCCCAACCCTTTACTCTGAGGTAAAGTCTGTTTTTGATGTTGAGATGTGTTTCTTGTACGCGGCAGGATAGATGTCTTCATATCCATTCTGTTAGTCTTTTTTATAGGTGAGTTAAGACCATTGACATTGAGGGATATTAATGACCATTGATTGTTGATTTTTGTTTATTTTGGATTTGTTGGTGGGGGTGTTATTGTGTGTGGATTCCCCCTTTTTTTCTTTTGGTGTTTGGTAAAGTTGGTTTTTTGTGAGTGTAGTTATCTTTGTTGGGCTGGAGTTTTCCTTCTAGAACTTTCTGAAGGGCTGGATTTGTGAATATGTATTGTTTAAATCTGTTTTTGTTTCATGGAACATCTTGTTTTCTACATATATAGTGATTGAAAGCTTTACTGGGTATGGTAGTCTGGGCTGGCATCCATGTTCCCTTATCATTTGCAGAACATCTATCCAGGACCTTCTAGCTTTCAAAGTTTCTATTGAGAAGTCAGGTGTAGTTAGGACAGGTCTGCCTTTATATATTACTTGGCCTTTTTCTTTTGCTGTTCTTAATGTTTTTTTTTTTTATTTTGTAAGTTTGGTGTTTTATTATGTGGTGAGGAGACTTGTTATTGTGATTCAGTATATTTGGTGTTGTGTAAGCTTCTCATACTTTCATAAACATATCCTTTTTTAGGTTGGGGAAGTTTTCTTCTATGATTTTGTTGAATATATTTTCTGTGCCTTTTAGCTGTATTTCTTCACCTTCTTCTAATACCTATTATTCTTAGGTTTGGCCTTTTCATGGTGTTCCGTATTTCCTGGATAGGGTGTAAGGTGTCACTTCAATTATCCTGTATCTATCTAGACTTGCTTTGTGTCTGAGTATGTGGTCAGTTTTGGAGAAAGTTCCATGAGGTACATAGGAGACAGTATCTTCTTTTGTGTTTCTGTAAACATTAGATCAATTTGGTTTATAATGCCAGCTAGCTCCAGCATTTCTCTGTTTGGTTTTTGTCCAGATTTCCTGTCTATTGGCAAGAGTGGAGTATTGAAATCTCCACTATCAGTGTGTGAGAGTCAACTTCTTATTTGGGTAGTGGTGTTTCTTTATAAACTTGTGTGTCCTTTTGTTTGGTGCATCGATATTAAGAATTGCAATGTCCTTTTGGTGTAATATACTTCCCTATCTCTTCTGCTTAATTTTGGTTTGGAGTCTACTTTATCAGATATTAAAATAGCTATACCAGCTTGCTTATTAAGCTTAGAATATCTTTTTCCATTCTTTTGCCCTGAGGTGATATCTATTCTTGATGTTAAGGTATATTTTTTGGATACAGTAGAAGGATGGATCTGCATTTCCCATCCTTAGTGTTTTGATTATTATGTGCAAAGGAGACTTTCTTTTTTGCCCCAATCTATTTGGTAGTCTGTATGCTTCATGTTCCTTGATAGGTACCTCCTTCTTTAAGTTAGGGAAATTTTCTTCTGTGATTTTGTTGAAAATATTTTCTGGGCCTTTGACCTCTGTTTCTTCTCTTTCCTCTATTCCTATTACTCTTAGGTTTGGTCTCTTCATAGTGTTCCAGATTTTCTGGATGTTTTGGACCAGAAGTTTTTATATTTAACATTTTCTTAGCAGAAGTATCCATTTCTTCAATGCCCGAGATTCTCTCTTCCATCTCTTGTATTCTGTTGGTGAGACTTGCCTTTGAGGTTCCTATTCAAGTTTCTAAATTTTTCATTTCCAGATTATACCGTTTTCTTTCTTGATTCTATTTCAACTTTCAGGTCTTGAACTATTTTGTTCATTTCTTCCTACTGTTTGTCTTTTCATAGATTTCCTTAAGATATTTATTTCCTCTGTAAGGTCCTCTATCATATTCATAAAGGCTATTTTAATGTCTTTGTCTTGTGCTTCAACTATGTTGCAATACTCAGGGCCTGCTGTGGTAGTGTTGCTGGGCTCTAGTGGAAACATATGTCCTGACTTTTATTGTTTTGTTTTTATGCTGGCTTCTAGGCACCCAGGTATGGGAAAATTGTAATTCTAGGTGCTGGTATCTAGTCTAGTGTTTTTGGGGTGGGTGTTTTGCTCCTTGGTTTCTGTTGGCCTCTCTGGTTCTTAGGAAGGTGTGGTGACTGTGATCCTTGGTAGGAAATTCTTCTGATAGCTTCCTAGATGTGGCCTCAGGGTGATCCAAGTAAAATGTGTTTTAGGTATTAGGAGTTGACACTTAGTAATGTGGATGACCCTAGGAAGGGGGTTCTGAGGTATAATCCACAGGAAGGAAGGAAGGAAGGAAGGAAGGAAGGAAGGAAGGAAGGAAAGGTGTTCCAGCATGATCTGCTTAGTCCCATGGAAATGAGGGCAGGGAGGGTGGTCTGCTACAGAGCTGGGGATGAGACTGGGAGAATGGACTTGGAGCAGAGGAGGAGAGGCAAAGATCTGTAGTTAGCCTACCTGCTTCCCTGGTCGGAGTCAAAACATGTGTTAGCTCAATGTGTTTCCTCTTCTATGCTTTTCAGTGCTGAGTTTGAAGAGCTACATAATTATGACACAAGAATTTCATATCTGAGTCACTCTAGCAACTCCATTAACCTGTGTGCTGCAGAAGAAACTTCCGAGGGTAAGTCTGCTAAGCCAATTAATATTATAACCCTATGCAGGGTAAAAATGTGTCAAGATGGTATTTTCCCTATAGCTAATGATCTGTCCAGATTTTCCCCACTCTGCCATCTCATTTCCTTTTTATCTCTCCCATATCTAGTCTCTTAACAATATATATCAGCCCAGCTGGGCATCAGCACTGATCTGGACTCCTAATAAGTGACCCCTACTGTGTACCTCCTCCTTCCTGCCATTCCATTTCATCTCCAATCATCTGAACTGCTTTGCCCTTTGTAGGTGGGTAGGGGGAAAAGTCAAGACATTGTGATTCAATTTTTCTCACTTCTAAGGAACTATCACCTTGCTTCTTATATCGTTCTTGAAGTTACTTAATGTGTGGAGAAAGAGATGACACACCACAAGAATTAGACTTTGTGTTCAAAATCTAATTAAGAAAGGGGGCTTTGGGTAGTAGCTCTTGAGTCCAAAGTTAAATCCTCCAGCCTCTGATGATGCTAAGAATGCTTTGTGCAAAGCAGATTCCCAGATAAAAGGAACGAGAAGCAGAGAGGCAACACTACTGCAAGGTTCAATGTCTTTGTTCTACCTATAGCACAGTTCAATTCTCTGCAGAAGCAATACATATCAGTGCTACAATAATTCCAGGGCTTACAGAGCCAGCACTATGGATTGTATTTCTCTGCTAGATCCTCTATAAAGATACCTGCAGTTTGAATGCTTCCAACCCCACTGTAAGAGACAGGAGGCTGAAGTTGGAGAGGCTGAGCTGTACATAGTGACCCAAGCAGTGTGTGGTAGAACAATGCAGAACAGGCTCAGCCTGTCTGGACACTCCATGCCCTTTCCATCAATCTAAGCTGCATCTTACCCAGGGGAGCATATCTCCCTTGCAAGGAGGCTCCACAAGATCTTCTGGCTCAACTATTGCTGTACAGACAAGAAGACTTAGGTTCTAGGAAAGAAGTCATTGTTCTGGAATATATAGAGAGTCTATGATTTTAAGTCATGAACACATATTGACATTTCTGTAGCAGGTTTTTTTGTTTTGGTCTACCAACCAGCTCCCGAATCATGACACAGAGACTTACTAGTTATAAGTGCTCAGCCTAGCTTAGGCTCTTTGAACTTAAATTAACTTGTTATTCTTTGTCTAATTTTTGCCTCAGGGCTTTTTGCTTTCTTCCTGCATATCTTACTTTCACTACTTCTCATGTCTCCTAGCTGGTGGCTGCTTGGCTGCCTCCCTCCCCCATATCTCCCTTGTTCTCTCCTCTCTTCTCCTCTTCTCATTCTTGTCCCAGGCCTAGATTTCTTCTATTTATTCTCCCTGCCTGCCTGCCTGCCATGCCTATCCTTTCTCTACCTAGCTATTGGCTGTTTAGCTCTTTACTAGACCGATCAAGTCCCTTAGGCAGGCAAGGTAAAACAAATGCAACACATCTGTACGAAATTTAAATGGAGCATAAACAAATGTAACACACCTTTACACAGTTAAAATAATAACCCAGAACACATTGCACTTTCCTTTCCAGGAGTGAGAAGTTGAATAACTACTAAAAAAATTCTACTGGGTCAGAGATGGCTGCGTTGAACACTTACAATTTAGAGCACAGATTCAGGCGTGGGATGAAAGTTCTGCAACTGATTATTAATGTCTGCCATAGGTGTAGGATTTTGTTGTTTGCTTTCTGTTTTGTTTTTCATTCATTGCCCGCCCTACTACAGTGGGGTTCTAAATGTCTAAGAAGTCACACAGTTGTCCTTGTACCTGATAAAGTGAATTGGGATAAATCAGATCACCCATGAAAAAAAATCTGATGTTCCCATAGGAATAGAGCAGGGATTTTCACTTTCTAATATATGCATTGATCCCTGGGAAATATTAAAATACAGATTCTGATCACAGATCTGGTATGTGGCCTTGGAGCCTGCATGTCTAACAAGTTCACCATTTATGTGACACTGCTAGTTTGTCCCACACACTGTGACTAGAGAGGATAGGGCCCCATGTAGGCAGAATTCTCACTGAATGAATTTCTACCAGGACTAAAGGCTCACAGGGCTGAGAGGAAGCTTGAGTCTGAGCCTTCTCTTTTTTTCTCTGAACCCCTGAGACTCCCTTACACGGAACCTACCATTATGGGAATGCCTCATCAAAATCCTGGTTAGGGATTTTGCCTAGGTCCATCTTCCTTTTGATGAGCTAGGCTTCAGGGGAGAGTGTGTGGATATTTCACCCATGCAGGGCTACTCATGCTAGTAGGTAAAGCTGAGGATTGACTATGGAAATTTCAAAGGTGGGCCTTCCAGGGACACCACTTGAGGTACCTATAGAAGGAATTACTAACCCAAGCCTCTCTTCAGTATTTTCTGAAGGGTCCATTGCTGAACTTAAGGAGTAATGCCACCAAGCAGGCAAGGGTTGATGACTAAAGAGTCAGAAAGGGTTCAGAAAGTGAGGCCTGGTCCAGTTCCCTGTGTGGAGCAGTAAGGAGTCAGGTAGGAGGGGATGGAGATGGCTAAGCCTATCCCTGATAGTAGGGCAACTTTATAGTAGACAAGGATAGACCAGGTAATACTGAAACTGGGAAACTGTAGCCAGCAGTCAGGAGGATTTCAGTGATGTTTCCCACCCCTTCCAAAGGTGAATGGAATTGACAAAGCTCTAGCAAGACTGACAAAGAAAATGAACAATCTCAGGAATAAAGCAGGGATAGCCTCATGGACCCCATGGGCACTAAGAGATAAGGAAGCATTATAAAACACTGTACATACATGAATTTGGCAACTTAGACAAAAATGAAGCAATCCCTTTAAAAGTGCAGACTACCACGGATCACCCAAAATGATTTGAGTTGCTCCATAACCCTTGGGAAAAACCTAAGGTACTAGGACTAAGGTGCTGGCCCAGAGGGTAGAGAGCTTCCCATATAAGCATAAGGGCTGGAGTTAGAATTTCCAGGACACAAATGAAAGCTGGGAGGTGTAAATGCTACCGATAATTCTATCATTTGGGAGGAAGAGGCAGGGATCCCTGGGGAATCAGTGAGCTCTGGGTTCAGAGAGAGAAGGTGCCTCAGAAAGTAAAATGAATAGCCATTACGGAGGATACCCAACACCAATCTCTGACCTCTAAGTGCACACTCCCAACACACTTGTGTGTCCGCATACAAGAAAGCATGAATACACAAATGCACACCCCCAACACACATTGCATACCTAAGGACATACATACATGAATGCACACACACCTCATACAAACAAGTTCCCCAAAGATTGTCTGCATCCAGGTGATTTCACTGAAACGTGCTTGCAAACACTTAAACAGCTACCACCCAGGCTTTGTAGTATCTTCGAGAAAAATAGTGGCAACCAGTTCCTGGCTCATCTCATGAAGTTAGCATGAGCCGGATACTAAAATTAAACAAGACTAGTACAGCAAGCCGTTCAGATGTCTCAGAGTAGTCATTGACATGGGATATTGGCAATAGTATGCAGTGGCATAATCCAATGTAGTTTGTTTCAGAGATGCAAAGCCAGTATCCATAAATCAATCAACAAAACCCATCATGGTGACTGAGTGAAGCAGTAAGATCACACAATGGATTCAAAGGACACTGGGCAACATTCTGCCCTGTTCACAATATAATGATTCTTGGAAAAAGAGCTCCTTGGCTCTGATAAAGGATGTTCACAGGGAGCCTGCAGAGCTAGCTACCTGGTGGTAAAGAGGGACTGCTTTCTCTCCAAAACTCCAAACAAGACAAGAATGTCCTCACCTACTGCTCTTTTTCAATGTAGAGCTAAGGGTTCTAACCAGGAAATGAAAGGGCAAAGAAAGATAGCATCTTAATTTGCAGAAATTCCTAAGGGTTTATAAGAACCCATCAGAGCAACAACCCCCACACCCTGCCACCAAGAACTAGTAAACACAGTTGTGGTTTTTTATGTACTACCAGTATGCACATGGTTGCTATAATTGGAAAAGTACAATATCCTTTAAGTTTTCTTTCCAAAATGTAAACATGTAGACTTTGTTACAGCATGCATAAGAGTTAAATGTTAAAGAATACAAAAATTTGGATTAAAAAAAATCAAATCTAACACAAATGAGTGAGAAGACATAATGTGTTTTCGAATTAGAAGACCCAATAGATCAAAATTGACAGTTAGCAAAAAAACAACATATCAGTTCTCCCCAAGTGGCTCATAGGCTTAAGGCAGTTCCTATAAATATCCCAGCAAGGGGTTTTGAAGCTATAGACAGGATTACTCTAAAATGCATGTGGAAATGCAGAGGGACTTAAAACAGCTGCAGATAATTTTGAGAAAAAAAATGTAGGAAGGACCAGCCACCCGACTGTAAGACTGATAACTTCAGTGATCACGATCACGTAGCTTCGGTAAAGAGACCTACTGTGAAGGAATGAAACTGAGAAACCAGAGACAGGCAGGTAGAAATACACAAAACAATTCTTTTTCTGTTCTCGCCTTTTACAAAGATGTAGAAGCAACTCAGTGAAGATAGTCTTCTAACAAATAGTGGTAGAGTGTATATTAGTATCCATAGGTTAAAAAAAAGTCAAACAGGAACCTAATTCTCACAACTTTTACAAAATTTAATTTAATGTTTCTCTCGAGTGAAGAATCTAATTTCTTTTTAAAGGGCGGGGGAGAGACAGGGAGCAGACAGGAAGGGAGGATGTAGTGATTAGTGTCTATTGTCCCATCAGTGACTCTGCCCCTTGAAACAAACCCAACAGCTTCAGGTGCATAGCTTACACAGAGCTCAGTCTTGGGACACAGGATTCAGGGTGTTCTGGAAATTACATAATTATCCCCAGTGGTCATCAAGACCAGTACCCTTGTGACTGTGCCTCCTGGTGCCAGGGAATTCTTGGGGCATCGTAGAGCCTTGGGGATTCCCTCAGACCAGGAAGTTCTAAACTGGGAAGTTGTTCTCTTGTGGCCTTGGGCAAGCTGCTTCACTTCCCTCGGTGTGGCTTCCATATGGGTAAATATTTAATATCAAAAGGAAGCATATTGCCTACACTATGAAGATGCTTGCTGCTGTATATTGTTGGGTTATTTAATGTTAGCAATGGTCAGCTCCTGATGGAGAGACAGACGTGTCTAAGAGCTCATGGGATGTAGTACATGGAGAAGTGGAAGTTCTCCAGGCCATGAACCTCTGCAGCTGCAAAATGGCTGAGGAAACACTTTTGGAGTTTTCTCTCTCTCTGCCATCTGGTAAAGCCACGTCAGAGGTGGAAAGTTACAGACACCTGCACAGAAATTGAGAGAGGACTCCAAAGCTGTGGGTCAAATCTTATTTCAACTCCTAGTCCCCGCTGATTTTTTGGGGGGGAGTATAGCCCACCCTCCCTTTCTTTTATTTTTAAGATTGTAATTACATCGTTTCTCCCTCCCCTTTCCTTCCTCTGAACCTCCCCATCTGCACCTTCTTGCTCTATTTCATTCTACAGCCTGGCTGAAGTTTCCCCTCCCTCCTCTCCCCCTGCCCCCTTTCTTTCCACCCCCCCCAAGTCTACACCCCCTAAGGTTCTGTTTATGAAAGGGCAGGTCTCCCATGACTATCAACAAACATAAGCCTTGCATTCTTACCTTGGCGTAAGTTTGGTTCCCGAAGCTCCCAATGGAGAGCCTTCACTTTGACATTGCAAGGACATAATTAGCTGAATGTGTATGATTTGCATTACTTATTGGAGCAAGCATCCCCAGGGCATCTGCAAGCCCTGGTTTTGTAGTTTCCAAGGTATCACATGCACTGATACGCTCCATGGTGTTTAAAGGGAAACAAGTGAGATCATAATTTGTTAATTCTATTAAGAGCACAGACAGACACATAAAAGAGAAGACTGTCTTTAAAAAGTGGAAACGAGTCAATACTCAGAATCAATATGGGGGAAATTGAATCGTGAGTAGATTTACATTTTTAGATTTATTTTTCTTTGTGAATATGAATGTTTTGCCCATGTGTGTGTTTGGTGCCCAAGGAGGTCAGAAGAGGCTGTCAGAGTCCCTGGAACTGGAGTTGCTGATGGTTCTGAGCCATGATGTGGGTGCTGGAACTCAAACGTAGATCCTCTGCAAGAGCAACAGAAGTAGATCTTAGCTGCTAAGTCATCTCTCCAGCCCCATAAAGAGATTCATTTTTTTAAAAAAGAGGGGTATGTGTTAAACAAAAAATAAAAATAAGGGGCAAAAGTATCTTCCTCTAAAAGTCAGTAAAGATGAACATCTGGTTTACCTAGAAGGAACTACATTATTAACTATGCATGTAGAATTTTAGATCTAAGAAAACCTAAATTTTAGGAAAAACTAGGATTACATTTATTTTGTCAGTGAGTTATATGTTTCCATTAAGAGCTGAGAAATGGGGCTTTTTTTTTTTAAATCAATTTCGGGACAAAAGCAGAAGAAACATAGCAGAAGCCCCATCTGCTTCACACTTCTGTCAACAGTTCAAAATTTCACAGATGTTTCCTAAGCAAAAAGCATGTGAGGAGCAATTTTCTGGGAAATTTGACACTTTTCATACAATGCCCAGCATCCTGCTAGTCGCCATCTTGGAGGTACTGATGGACCGGTTTCACAGATGAGTAGCCCAGGACTCTTCTGAATCCCTCAAGAAGAAAGTGGCAGAACTCAAATTTTATGCCAGTTCTTGCTACTACTTACATTTGTTAATAATTGAGGAAGTCATGATATCATTAAACAACATCCGCAGAAGCATCGGGAAAGTCAGGAGATATTTACGTCCTCTTGGGCTCCTTTTACAAGCTGTGTTTAGGAAACAAAGCACTTGGGGCAAGATCTGGCATTTATCTCTTGAATTAGACCCAAGTTCCTGCTAGTCTGCCCCCCTCCAACACACACACACACACACACACACACACACACACACACACACACACACCTTTGTCTCCCAAGTGCTACCACTGACTTTCAATGATTTCTTTTAAGCAGGATATAAGTATCTATTTATTTAAACCAGGAAACTTAAGATATGGTTTCACTGAACAGAACCCAGGGTTTCTTATCTTTCAAAATAGGCTATAAATTCCACCCTGGAAATCCCCCACAGAACTCAAACCTTGACCGTTGACCTTAGAAATTTTCCTACCCACTCAGAGTGGGTCATAGATGGATGCTTTGAAGGGTGAGAAAACTGGACTCTGTAATCACGTAAATTGTGTTAAGCCTGGATATTGCAAGAAATGAGTGGATAAACTGACTTGAAATATCTTTTGTTTATTTTAGCCACTTATGAAATTGAAATTGAAGAACTCCAAAAGGTATTACTCCTCCTGTCCTTACAGATGTGTGAATAAGAGTAGCACACTCCCTGCAGATGTGAGTCTAGGGAACTTTCCAGCAAGATGAAAGCTCCCTACTTACAACAGGATTCTTCTAGCCTCTAGTGGTCAGGATTCTGAGCCCCAAGCCTTTTTTTTTTTTTTTTTTTTTTTTTTGGTTTTTACGAGACAGGGTTTCTCTGTATTGTTTTCCAGGCTGTCGGTCCAGCCCAGCCTCGAACTCACAGAGATCCGCCTGCCTCTGCCTCCTGAGTGCTGGGATTAAAGGCGTGCACCACCACCGTCTGGCTGAGCCCCAAGCCTTTAACATAGAATAAGAATGTGTGTACTGAGATGGACAGTCATGATCTGAATTGATTCCTGAACTCTCATCTCATATGGTCTGCGCCAAAATACCCTTTAATAACCATCTCTTTCAGAGAGAAATGTCCTTCAGGCCAAAACAAATTTATATGTCTTAGGCTACCGAGAAAACAGCCGGGGCCTGGAAGGCATACTTCCTGGGATTCTGCTGGTGTGGTGTTAAGTGCCACCTTGGAAGTGACGGGCGTAGCAATTCAGTTGAGGCCCCAAGAAAAATTGCTATGAGCCTTAGTCATAGAGCCTGGCTATGACCTTGAATGTTTGTCAGCAAGGACATTGTACAGGATACCTGTGCCATGGGAAAAATAGAACCCCACAACTGGAGCCCTTGTGAGGGGGAGCAGAAGGCAGGCACTGATGGAACAGTGTGTTGAGAAGTACCTGGAACTTGGCATTCAGGCCCCTGAACCCACACTCTCTGTAAATGGAGTATTCCCCCATGAAGACAGGAAGCTTGTTTATCACCCTGCCTGCTATAGCGGATGTTCAGTAAACGGAGGACTGGCACATCTTCACATTACAAAAAACAATGAAGTGTGTGAGCTCCCGGTACAGTGTCTGGCACATAGTAGGTGCTTCCCAAGCACATTTATGGGGTCATTTAAGGGTCTAGTCCACCCTTGGTGGGCACATTCTGTATTTTTAAGCTGGACATGCACAATCTGATTTCATCTTTCTTGATGACTTGGCTGAAGGGCTGTGTGAGCACAGTTCATACTCCTGGATCTTTGCTAAGGCCTAGTTGCCTCACATCAGAGCTCATGGCTGCTTTCTGGGATTGTCATCCTTTCTGGTAGTTATTTTGTCTGCCTCCTGCTGGCACTCTGGTGTCTAGCAGTAAGACTTTTATTTGATCAGGAATTACACAACATTCAATCCCCAAGATTACCGTGGGAGTTAGTACCCCTGCTTCCACTTTAAATGATGAGTATTCAGAGCTACTAAATAATACAGTAATTAACATTCAAAGGCATTAAAGAGGGTCCATCTGACTTGTTTCCTGGTGCTGATTTACTAGAATTCTGCCAAGAGTTACTAGGCACTGAACGAAGGCCTGCAGGACGGTCCTCTAAGGCTGTCTGGGAGCTGCTATGCTTGGCCTTAGAGGCAGCCTTTCAGATTCTTGTTTTCTATTTTCTTCAGGCTTCTTGGCTAGATTCCAAACAATTAATGACATCAGAAGTGGGACAGTCGATTGAGGGGAAGGGGGTCGTGTCATGTTGTGATCACTGGGATGTAATCTTAACAGAACTACATCTCTGCCCTGTAAGAGTGGAATTTTGATCAGAGATTGTGTAGCTATGGTCCAATCCAAGCAAGACTCACACACTAACCTTTGGCCACTGAAACTGCCTAGATGCTACATGTTGTACACCCAGAAGTGTTTCTCCTTCAGGAGCATGCCTGGAAAGGGATGCAGGAAACTGTCTGAATCCTTTTGTGTGCTGTAACTCACACACACTGAACCTTCAGAAATGGTGGTTTCTCTTCTGCTTGAGCTTCAGTCCCACATGGAACTCTCTGTGGCCATTGTCTGCTTGTGCCCTGTCCCAAGACTTCACCTCCCATTTGATCAAGTCGCCTGATGATCTGTAACCAACAACAGAGGCTGCTTTGGGTAAACTCACAAAAAGTGACTTTTCCTCTTTGTTTTCAGCCTTGGAGGAGTTTTCTCCATCTAGAACCGAGGTAAGTTTTGCCTCTAAAAGGGAAGCATAGTCTAGCCACCTATGACTCATGACTGAACTCATTTTCTTGCTGTGGGCTGGCCATGTTCCCAGTGCATGAACTGGTTCTGTTTCCCCGGGACCTTGTAAGGTATCCAGTGCCAAGCAGGTTCTCAGTGACCCTGTGTGGCCTTCCTTGATCTTGTCAGCTTAGCCCATATTGTATTGCTGGCAGCAAATTCTAACTCTAATTGACAAAGCAAAGAAGGGTGATTGAAGATAGAGCCATAGACAACTTGCAGTAATCCAAGACAGGCAAAGTGTTGGGGATAGGGAGACAACACGGCTACTCCAGGGTATCCGTGGAGGACTGGCAAGTATTATGACTTAGACAGAAGAGATCTTAGATTTGTTAGCAATGTAAGATGCAAATTGCATGTTTGGAAACATTAGTAGGTAATAAAAAGAAAGAGGTGACCAAATAAGCTGGTGGGTTGGGGGAAATTGTGATAATCTACATCCAAACAGATGTGGAGGGAAGGAACAAAGAGACAGAATGGCGAAGGAAGAAAAGTGGCAGACTACACAAGGACTTAGATTACATCCTACAGGTACTAGAGAACTAAAAGAGTTTAAGCATGAATTGATGCTTACACTGATTGGAATAGGCAGACACTCATATAAGCTATCCGCCTGGTTGATCTAGTCCTGATTCCTCGTCTTAAAGATCCACTCTTCTCAGTCATCTCATTGGGATTGGGCTACTCTACCATCTACATGGAAGACCTTACTCACCTCAGTGTCTCCCTGTTTCAGACCTACACCTACAGACGAAGGCAACAACATGAAGGAAAAAGAGCCACGTGAATTAGAACCTCCCATGCCAGAAGATTCACATCCGAACCATCCTTCTAAGGTATCTGTGTCCTAGGGCTCATGATGTAGTTCAGACATGTGATCTTTCTCCAGTCTGAATCTGATCAGTATCATCTACTGCTTCTCCTTTCAAAACTAAGGAATAAAATCTAAGCTCCTTCCTGTGTATACAAAACCATTCATAATCCAGCCCCACCCCATTTGTCTTTTGAGTCTTGTCTTCAGTCTTCCTCTCCTATTTCTCCCCCACCCTTTTCCTTTAGCTTAGCTCTTGGCACAGCTTCCATACTACCCCTTCCATACTATTAGGTCACTAATACTTCCCCAAATAACCCATGCCTTTGCTCATTCTGATGAATCTGCCAGATATTCCTGTCCCCTCCCATCAATCTCCTACCTACGTTTTAAAAGATAGAACTTGATGGATTCTGCTTTTGGAAGATTTCCCACACTCATTTTCCCAATGGAAAAGAAAAAAATCTCCCCATCCTTTGTTTCTATGGCTGTGAACACTTCCATAAGTGATATCGTATTACATGCTAATTCCTTGTGAGTGTCCACTGACTGACCTACTTCCAGAACTTTTTGGGTTGTCTTGTATTCAATGCAGGTCTCATAGATAAGGCAATGCAGATTTGAGAAGGAACATGAGGTAGTGACTAGAAAGACAAATGTCAAGAAGACTGGAAGAAAGGAGGGATACCCAGAAGCCCCCTTACAGGTGATGAGAGCAGGGATGTAGGGCTAAGCCTTCTCTCTGCAGAATACTACTAATAAAACCCATCATCAGTTATTTGAGCTGCCTAGATTCTTCATCAAGAGGAATAGTGGTATTTGTTCTCACAGGATGTCACAGTTGAGATGAGTAAAGAGCCTGATTTGGAGTTGCAATCCCACAGGCATTCATTGGCTCTCAGAAATCAATGAAGGGCATGGTCTGTATTCTGGTAAGATATAGGGTCTAGTAAGATGGTGCCTAACCACATGAACAATTAAGAGTTGTTCTTGCTAAGGAACACATCTAAAGACCAGAATGCATGAGCAAGAAATGGATTTGACAATCAGTCCCAGCAGTACTCTCCCTGCTTCATGTGTTTAGGTAGGTGTATATGAAGAGACACCAGGAAAAGTCGAGATGGCTGGAGTCCATGGGGACAGAAGGAGTGTTCCAGCTGGAAATCAGGAAGCTTTGGTCGACATCAATCAGAACAGGCTCTTCCCTGAGGATGTGTTGCTGACCAGGCACTCCCAAGACAGGGGTAAGTGGCATTTCCCCTGGAATCTCTTCACTACCACATTGTTTTAAAGGGGAGTGTGGCTGCAATCATAATTTATTTACAGATATATAATGGACATTTATTATGTACCTAGTAACTTGACTGTAAGGGCTGTCTCCCCCAGAGTAATGGAAAGAGCACTAGATTTAGAGGCAACTGGCTTGAGTTGAAGTCTACACAAGTGTGAACTTAGCAGCTGTGTGGTGAGTTTGTATTGCAGTAGCTCAATTTCTCCATTAAAAAAAGGAATCTGAGCCTGGCATTGGTGGTGCATGCCTTTAATCCCAGCACTCGGGAGTCCGAGGCAGGTGGATCGCTGAGTTTGAGACCAGCCTGGAATACAAGAGCTAGTTTCAGGACAGCCTCCAAAGCCACAGAGAAACACTGTCTAGAAAAAAAAGGAATCTGAGCACGGACCTTACAGGAGCTATGAGGACCAGAGCCAACAGCATGCCATGTGACACTCTCGTTCTTTTCTTGTCTGTCACCATTAGCAAATGTATGTCATGCAGCATCACTAAGAGACTATTTCAGCTGCATTTTCTTCCTTCACAGTAGTCAGAACCCTTGATTATAAACAAGAATTAAATCATACTTGGTTAAACCACATGCTTAAAGTAGGCTTACTTGGCAGAAAATCAAGGCATGCCTGGATTCAGGGACACAGATGATATCACAAGGACACAGTACCCTGAGTTCTCCTCTGAGGCAACCCTGTTTTTCAGGCAGAGTCAGTTCCTATAAAGTCAAGCTGGCAGCAAGCACTGATAGAGTAACAAACTATTCTCTGATACGCCCCAAAGGAAAACCTATAGTTTTTGTCTTTCCAAAGATAAAAGACATGGGTCTTACACTGACTTTGATTGAGTCACATGCCATCACAAATTAAAGACCTATGATGCTCTGATTGGACCAGTTGTGTCATTTCCCATTGATCTAGGAGTACGTAGAGTCATTTGTACCAAACAACACACCATGTCTTAGTTACTTTTCTGTTGTTGTGATTAGACACCATGACCATGACAACTTATAGAAGAAAGAATTACGAGGGCTTACAATTCCAAGAGTTAGAATTCATAACCATCGTGGCAGGAAACATGGCAGCAGTCCAGCAGGCATGGTACCGGAACAGCTGAGAGCTCATTTGTTATCCATAAGCATGAGGCCTGTGAGGGTGAGCTAATGGGAATGATATGAGCTTTTACAACCTCAAAGCCCAACCCAGTGACATGCCGCCTCCAACAAGGACACAGCCAATCCTTCCCAAATAATTCCACCAACTGGGGACCATGTATTCAAACATATGAGCTTGTGTGGGCCATTCTCATTCAAAACAAGACACCATCACATGGAAGGAAAACAAGACAGCTGTTATCAAGAGAATAAGAGAAGATGCTGTATAGATGAAGGAAAGGAATGACCATTGCAGCCAGGTGGTAGTGCATGCCTTTAGTTCCAGCACTCACGAGGCAGAGGCAGACAAAACTCTGCATTCAAGGTCAGCCTGGTCTACAGAGTGAGTTCAGGACAGCCAGGGCTACACAGAGAAACCATGTCTTGAAAACTAAAAAGAAAAGGGAAAAAAAAGTCAATGGCAGCACATTAGTTCACTGAAAGTCATGGATATGATGTATTAGAGACAGAATGGGGTTAGTTCCATGATCAAATATGGAGTCATCATCCCTTAAAATCTACTCCAGCCCTCCTGGGCTTCACCTGTGCCACACACCTGCCCCCGGTATTCTCTGCTATTGTCAAGTGATTGGGAGTCAGCAGTTACCTGTGGTGGGGAGTAATGTGGAGCAGAGAGACCCAAAGAGGTGCTCTTTGACACGGGAACTGCTTGTTTTGATCTGTGTATGTGAAGATGTTCAGGTTGAGACAATCCTTGGTCTGAGGTTTTGTGATATGTTCCCCTGTGTATTGTGTTGTCATTAAATCTTAAAACAGGACTAGGGATGCAGTTCAGGTATGAGTGATTGTCTTGCATGTACAAGACTTGAGGTTTTTGATTCACAGCACTGCAGAAGAAAGACAAATACAACAGCAAACAAACAAGCAAAAAATACAAAAAGGTTTTTAAAAAAGTAGGCAACTATTAAACACAAACATAACCTTCTAAAATGAGAAAATTGAAAGTTATGAAGAGCAGACACCTTAATCAGGAGACTTAAAAAGCAGAGAAAAAAATTAAATATGTTAAATGAAAATACATAAACATTCCAATGTCAGTAAATTCTATGCAAGTTAAACTTACTAACTAGAGGATGCATTCATGTTTTTCAAAACTCAAAGTACGTGAGTGTTCTTTGCATGCCCTGTACTCTTCAAGGGATGAGGATTTAGCAGTAAAAGAAATAACAAAATAATTTCTCCTCTCATTCATGCACAGAGGACCGAAGACCCTCTCTTTCATTCTGCAAAAAAAAAATCAACTCAAAATGGATCAAAAGTATAACAACTAAAACCCTGAAGTCACGAGAAGGAAACGAGGGGAGAACCTTTGAAATGTAGGTCTAAGCAATGACTTAACACAAAGCAATGGCAAGAACTGACAAATGAGGCTGTGCAAACGCTTCTGATGGCAAAGGAAACAAGAGAACACAGGCAAATAAGGAGAGATCTTTGCTAGCTATAACTATTAATATCGAGAATGTATAAAGTTCAAAATTCAACATTGAAAATCAAATAAGCCAATCATTAAGTGGGCACATGAATACAACAGACTTTCTCAAAAGTCGTACAAAAAAAATGACATGAAAAAATTCAACATCCTCAATCATATATAAATCAAAACTCTCCTGAGATTCCATCTTACCCATTCAGAATGGTTATCGTGACAAAAGAAAACAAACTCTAGAGAGAATGTTGAGGGGATCCTTAAGCACTGCTGATGGGAATGTGAATTAGGGAAGCTGCTATGGAAATCAATATGACAGTCTTTTGGAAAACTAAAAATGGAACAGCCACATGACACAGCTATACCAGGGATGAGTGTGTGAAGATGGGGAACTAAATCAGCCCACCTGAGTTTATCAGAGCACTGCTCAAAATAGCCAAGTTATAGAGTCACCTTCAACAAAAGAATAGATAAGAAAATGGGACACACATGTATGGGAGTATGTGTACACACACACACACACTTTATGCTATTATTAAGAATGAGAAGGATGGGGAGATGGCTTCGTTAGTAAATATCTTGCCTTTGTATGCATGAGAATTCAAATTTTATCATCATAACCTGTGTTTAAACAAATAAACAGAAACAACAAAAACAAGAATGATGGTATGCTTTATAATAACAGCACTGGAGAGACAGAGATAGGCAAAATCCCTAGGACTCACTGGGAGTCAGCACAGTGAATTCATGCCAGTGAGAATGTCTGTCTCAAAAAACAAAATAGACAGAGCCTGAGGAAGAACACCCAAGTTTGACTGCTGGCTTGCATATGCAATACGCATGAACACTAAAAAAAAAATGAAATTATAATTTGCAGGAAAATGGATGAAATTGGAGAGAAACTGAGACCTGTGGACTCAGAATGAATTAATCATGTTTTCTCTCATGTGAGAAGACTCTAGCAAAGAAGATGAAAGGGTCCATGTGGAGGGAGGGAGTGGGAAGACAAGACTATAGAGGTGGTGATGAGATCAAAGTACATAAACTGAATGAAAGAGAATGCCACAATGAAGTACATTCTAATGTACCATTAATATATAGTAATAAAGAATTCCAGGAGACATACCTCTTGACATGTCTGTGAGGGAGCTTCCTGAGAGAATTACCTGGGAAGGCTAGACCCACCCTGCATGTGGGCCTCACTATCCCACGTTCCAGGGTTCTAGATTGAATAAAAAGCAGGAAAGAATAACTGTAAGATACTACAATGTTTACATTACATGTCTTTTAATCTCATAATTCAGCTTATTCTCCCAGGAGCATTGTTGTAAAGGAGATGAGATATTCTCATGGTTACTGGAGTGTTATTTGCAATTCCCCGTGTGTGCATTTGAATAGATGATATAGACAAATATAGATAGATACATAGATACATAAGTAGACAGACAGATGATAGAATGATACATAGAGATACATCTGGGTGGACAAGTTCATTGTAATTTTCTGTATTATCTACTTGCATATGTATATACATACTTATCTGCGTATATATTGTGTCATTGTCTTAATTTGTACGCAACTTGAAAAGTTGGTAAACCCTTTGTACCTAGTTTGTTGAAATATTTTAGAATAAGTTAGTAATGAATTCTTTAAAAAAGTCAGGAAAGAAGAGAAAACAAGCTAAGTAACAACTTCCATCTCTGTCCGCTACCTACCTGACTGTGGATGCAGCATGACCGCCACCCCAGGCGCCTACTGCCATGACCTCCCTGCCGTGATGGGCTGTGAGCCACATTAAACTCATCCTTCCATGAACTGCTCCTTTCAGATGTTTTGTCATAGCAATAGAAATAGTAGAGGCATGTGTGTACCTGGTGCAAAAATATTCTATGGAGAAAGGAAAAGGGAACAAATACTTCTAGACCACAACTGATTTAAACCATCGAGAACTTCCAGCACACACACAAAAAGTCATAATTGGAGTTGCATTTTAAAGAATAACCTGACTGAGAATAGATAGAATATAAGCTAAGTCAGGGTATCTGTTGTTATCAAAGTGATTTAGCTGAGAGGTTTGTGGAAGGTTCCGTGAGAACTGTGGAGGTGTACCTGAATTTACCATAAAACCTTGTTAGAGATGACAGGCAAATGTTGACTAGATGCGAGATATGAAGGAAAAGAATCAAGTATGTCTCCAACACTTGTGTCCTGAGTTACCTGAGTAATAGAAAAGGTATTGTTGACTTTTTTAGGGGTAGATTTAAAGACTAGAAAATTTTACAAATGAAATCATGGGTTTGGTTTGAAATCCAGTATGCCTAGGATAACCAAATGGAAATGGCATGAAGGATTATGGTGGATCTGGAATTGTCTGTTGAAGATATACATTTGTGAATTGTGTTTCTAAGATGATTCCATAATGCTTTCCTTGAGCCAATAAAGGTTCAAAAAAGGGAGGGGGTGCTGGAAAGATTGCTCCGTGGTTAAGAGCATTTGGTCTTTCAGAAGATTTGGTTTGGTTCCCAGCACCTACATGGTAGTTCACAGTCATCCATACCTCCAGGTCCAGGGGATGCAACACCACTTTCTGGCCTCCACAGGTACCAGGTCCACATGTGCTATACACACACATATACAAAATACTCAAAACCTACAAAGTAGAATACATTTTTAAAAAGAAAGAAGTGCCCAACTATGTGCTTAGCATCTTTGTTTTTACAGAAACTATTCTGTTAACTTCTCTAGAAAATGTAAGCCACCTTCCTCTGGGAACTGACCCTCTTTGAAATAGTTTGAGGGTCACATACTTCTTGCAATAGGATAAAATCTCCTCATTTGGTTCATTTAATTAATAGATACAAGTCACTTTGCTCATTGCATATTTTTAGATAGACTTCTTATGATAAGTAATTCATGTTTGAAATGAAAATAACTCTGACTCACCCATAGCCTAAATAGGAAGCTGCACTACCTGATAAAGAGGTGACAGTTTTATGGTTATGACAAGTTTACAGCTGAGAACTGTCTGCATTTATCAGGCTGGCGACCTGTGCAAACAATCCCTATGGACTTTCAGATTGGCATGTTATCTTCTAGGTAATTTTATGACTAATAATACATGTGGTTATGTGTTCAATTAGCTTACAAAACTTTAAGAAAGAAAGAAAAACACTACCAAAAGACTAGAAAAGGCCATTTAAATGGTGCAGAAAATCTCCAGGGCTGAAGGACTTCAACACAGGAAGCCAGAAGCAACTGGAAGAGCCATTGGGGAAGAGCTTTGGTTTGCTGGCGAATGTGCACTCACTATGAATATACACGTGATCCTTGGGCAGTCACATAGTTATCCCAACTAGCCCAACTTCACAGTTCATCTGCAAGATGAAGTGACTTCTCCAAGATCGTGCAGACCATGTCAGTTTCATTGGTGCAGTGACTAAACAACAGGACAGAGGAAAGTCTGATTTGGGCTCAGAGTTTTACTCCACAGTCCTTGGCTCTGCTACTTTTAGGGCTGTAGTGTAGGGCAGAGCATGGTGGTGAAAGCGTGTGGGGGAGGAGGTAGGTCATGGTGGGCAGGAAGCAGAAAGCAAAGGAGGGATAAAGATAGCCTTTAAAGGGTTAGCCCCTACTCACTATTTCCTCTAAGCAGCCTCCACCTCCTAAAGACAGAACACTGGACACATGAGCCTTGGGGGACATCTCCTGCTCAAATCAGCACATGCCAAGACAGCATTCCAGTCTCATTATAGTTAGTCTACTTTCCTGCTGTTGCTCCTTTGCACGGGATGAGTGCAGATGTGCTCTAATAACTGGTGGCATTGGCTCATGGGATTTCCTACTTCCCTTACAGGTGGGTATGTGGAGGCTTTGGAGGTGACCAAAGAAACCCCAAGCCTAAGTACCATTAGGTCAAACTCCTCTTCAGAGAAGACTTATGATGATGTGGGATGCTCCAGAGAAGAGCTGTAAGTGTATTCTTGCCCCCCCGGAAGGAGGGATGAGGTACGACTGTGACAGTGCACTGGGTTAATGGTCTCTACATCTTCCTTCACAGACCAAAATGGGACTTCTCCAGCTCATTCACCTCAGACAGTGGTAAGTGCTGGTTGGAATCGCTGAATGCTGCTGAGGCTGAGCAGTGATCATGGACTTTTATTTGGACACATTTTTAATCATTAAAAACTGGATGTCAAGACTAAGCTAAGAGCAGTAGTGGTGAGGTGTGTTTAGAGGAGGGAGGGCGTTCTTATGGCAGAAAGCTTCTCCACACGAAATTGCTCTTTTTGTGGTGTCACAGTGCAAATCTGGTAAGTGGTGCATGTTTTTAGTTAAAATACCATCAGGGCTTCCTAGTGCCTCTTAGTTTTTAATTATGCAATGTGGGCATGGGGGATGGTGTGTGCATGTGTGTATAGGTACTTGTGGAGGCCAGGCGGAGTTTCAGGCTTTTTTTTTTAATCCACCTGATGTGGGTGTGGAAACCAAACTTGGATCCTCTGAAGAGTATGTAGCCCCAACTTCCTAGTGCTTTTAATATCAATATCAACAAAGGAGTGGTTCTCAACCTTCCTAATACTGTGACCCTTTAATACAGTTTCTCATATTGTAGTGACCCCAACCATAAAATTATTTCCATTTCTACTTTATAACTATAATTTTGCTTTTGTTATAAATTAGAATTTAAGTATCTAATATGCAAAATATTTGATAAGTTGCCCTAGTGAAAGGATTGCCTGAACTCTAAAGATTCACGTCCCACAGATTTAAAAGCACTTCCCTAAAGGCTTTGGCTGGCCTGCCCCTCTCTCGGCATCTGTGTGCCTGGCTCCATCTCACACTGTACTCAGTTTCTCTTTGAAGGGGATCACACGTCAACTCGACCTCTGCAATTGCCAAACGAAGGATGTTTGCAGGTGCCCACCCCCATTTAAAGTGATACTTGGTGACTAAGCATTCAAATATAGGAGCCTCTGAGGCTATCCTCAAGTCACTATAGAGGATACTACAGAGGATTTTTAAGGTAGTATTTAAAATAATAGGTTTTCTTATTTTACTTTTTTAGATATCCATAGTTTTTCTTACCCTTCCCTTGTTTCCCCCTTTTCTCCCTTTTCTCCTATCTTCTTTCCCATTTCCTGCTTAGAACTACATAGTGAGTTCCAGGATAGCCTAGGCAGAAGAGTGAGTTAGTCTCTCTCTTTGTAATATAACACATACACTCACACACACACACACACACACACGCGCGTGCGCTAATCAAATACTCTTCTGGGCTGACACGTAGGAACAACCTCAGAAAACATTAAATCCAATACCCACCTTTTAATGAGAGAACAGAGGTACAGAGGAAAGTTAAAGAACTCTGCATCTCAACTGTGTTTCGGTCAAGTTTGAAACGTTAACATTTATACATTGAATCCAATACTGTTTCCTCTAGACTCCATTTCCAGGCTACGACCTGCATCCATCTGTGTATATTAAGTTTATATGTTAGGCTTGCCATCCATCTGTGTATATTAAGTTTATATGTTAGGCTTGCCATCCATCTGTGTATATTAAGTTTATATGTTAGGCTTGCCATCCATCTGTGTATATTAAGTTTATATGTTAGGCTTGCGCAAAGAGAGACATCCTTAGCATACATGGGTTTTCCTTTGTTTCCCCAGCGTTTAGCATGCATAGAAAACTACAGCTGTTCTCCACTAACTGTGGGAAGGATGGAGGGTGAAAGGATTATATCTGTTGAGAAATTAGCTGCCTTTGGCTGAACCAGATCCTATATGGAATCAAACTTAGAAGAAACACCTAATTTTCATTTGTACAAAACCTTATACTTGTTTATGAATTTTTATCACACGCTTATAAAAACATACATATATTTCAGCAAAAACCACTTAACAAAAGAAAGTTGAAAGTACCTGGCAATTCCTAGTCATTAATTGTTTGTTTTTTGTGTGCCTCTTAATTTCAGAAGAAAATAGTGAAGAAATGTATGAAGATATCTACAAAACAAAGAATAATGACCAAAAAACAGAGTGAGTTTCTTTCTTGGATTTGGATTGTAGGCTGATAGTGTTTACTGTTTACCTAGTAAGTCAAGGTTTAAGACATGGCCCCACATTCTACCACCATCCCTGAGGGAAGATTACATGGGGTGATGATAAGCTATTGAAATACTACATTGTCACTGGTAGCATATATTCATAGTGTGTACAATCATACATCATAAAATTGAAGATTCATTGGTTTCTCCTTTGAGAAAAATGTCCATTTTCCAGAGTAGAGAACTTTAATATTATGTGTTAAGAAGTAGTTGAGACAGGGGAAGTAAATAACAATAGAATTTGGCTTGATTTTGTAGTTGCTTTTCCAGGATCAAAGCAATAAACATAATTTAGTCTTTGTCTTTGTGAGATAGTCACACTGACTCTGGGATTTGGAATTTACTCACTGATATTGCAAATGGTGTTTGTTCAAATGATCAACATTGGTCAAATTGAATTACAAAGATCAAGGAAAAGAAAACAGCACAGTCACTAGTGAGGAGTCTGAGGATGAAGGGCACAGTGGTACCCTATAACTACATCCTCCTGTACCAAGAAGATACTTAAGAGTTTCATAATCGGCTGACCCATTGGTATGTCACTACTGCTGTACACTCAGTTCCTGAAACATATGTTAAAAACCAGTGATGGCAATTCCAGGAGCCAGCAATCATCTGATGTGTCTCTATCACCATTTGGAGGGATGTTTCCCCAAGTTATTTTCTCCTCGAAAAGGAAGATTTTGATTCATAATCTCAGTAGACTTCACTCCTAATTGCTGAGACCTTGCCTTGTACTTTCTCAAGGGAGTCTTTTGGACCTGAGGCTGAGGTCTCTGGTGCTTGATAATCCAACAGCGCTCTATCGCAGTTCTAGTACTGTCTCAAACACCATGTTTTTTGTCTCCTCATTCCTCTTAGAGCAGATGGAAGAGCAGCACTGAGAAGATTGCAGCAGCTCTTCAGGAAAGAAAGGGGAATATTCAGAATAAAGAAAACCAAGTCAAAAGAAAATATCAGGTAAACAGTCCCTTTAGCCTTTCTTCCTGGGTATCAGCAACACTGCCTGGCAGGCACACGGGTTGCTGTTTTCCATCCAGTTCTCATCACCAGTGACAAGAGAATCTACAGCTATAACGGCCCCAGTACATGACACCCCAAAAAAACTAGTGGGAAAAAATTGCCAGTATCAGCAAGCAAGATCCAGAATGGAAAATTTGTAGTCATCCTTGGCCTCTCGTGTCATTGTCACTAAACATTACATTAGTGGTTACATCCTTTCATGTTCTCTTGGACACACACTCTCCAGTGGTCTTCATGTTCTCTTAGACACACACTCTCCAGTGGTTTCTTGTTCTCCTGGACACACACTCTCCAGTGGTTTCATGATCTCTTGGACACACACTCCCCAGTGGTTTCTTGTTCTCTTGGACACACACTCTCCAGTGGTTTCAAGTTCTTTTGGACACACACTCTCCAGTGGTTTCTTGTTCTCTTGGACACACACTCTCCAGTGGTTTCTTGTTCTCTTGGACACACATTCTCCAGTGGTTTCATGATGTCTTGGCTGCAAATCTCCAGTGATCTCACTTGTGTACACATCCACATTTACTTTGTCTTCTTTGAAAACAGCAATGTGTGTATCACGCTGATGTGGGTAACCTGATCTGCTGAATGGTCTGTGTATCTCAAGGCCCTGGACTTAGAAAGGCCAGGTCCCCGTGTAACCTCCACTGTTAGTCTTTGTAGAGGTTCCAAACCCGCCAGCAATGAAAGAGGCAGGATGTTCTTTCATTTGTGCTTACAGGACTGTAGTTCCCTCATGGATGCAATGGAAGGGGACTATATTGTCTCTGGGGACAGTTCTTTCTGCACAGATAGACATGTCTAGATCTGTGCTTTGGGAGGACACTGGAAAATGATTTGCCAAGATCATCACCTGCATTGAGATAGCATGAACTATTCTCCTTTAAAATTCTTCCCAATTACGAAGCCTTGAAATTTTGTGATTTTTAAGTCAGTTGTCTGCTGGAGATAGATCTCCCAAGAGACCCATTGGACAGGAGTGTGGGCACCACAGTCTGGATCACAGTAGAGAGACTTTGTTACTTGATTTTCTCTCTCCCTTAAGAACAGAAACTGTATCCAATCATCTTACCTAGCATAAGGAAGGGTCTGGCTCACGGCTACTACAAAAAATACCTGTAGTACCGAATTTAAATTAAAGACATCAAATAGACTTTTTCTTTCTTTTCTATGTTTTCCTCTCCCTTTTCCTATCGCACATCCACGTGGCCTCATTAGCAATGAGGGAAGAGAACCAAATCTAGCTGGACTGCATGTCCTCTCCTGCTTAGCAAGTTGCCATCTTACATTCCACCAGTCCTGTGTTTCTCTGTGGAAGTCTCCCCTTGGCTTATAAAACACAGATGGACCCCAATGTCTGCAGAGAGTCCCCATGAGTCCATCTGTACACTGTTCTTTCTCATCAATCCTTATACACATTCAGCAGATCTGACTGTATCGTAGAAGGTTGCAAGGCAGCCCGAGTGGTCTAGTTAGGAAGTGAGTTACAGGCAGTCTGCAGGGATGAATGTGAGTTCATTTGGAATGTGGTAGAACCAATCAGAACACAGCTGCAAGAGTCCTGCTTCAGTACCATCCGGATCAGGACACTTGCCACCAGAATGATATTTTGGATATATCTGCTAATGAGCATGACTTTGTTCCTTGACCTTTTTTTAAAATCTTTTCTTCATTAGCAATGGATTTTCCATGTCACTGCCTGATTTAGGTAAGTAACGTTTACTTGATGTTGTCCACTGATATTGCTGTCTTCAGGATTGGTTTGTTAAGGGGCAGGGTAAGAGCATTGGTAATCTTTCCTGCTTTACTATTGAAAACTGGGCCCATCAGAATGAAAGATATCTTAAACAATGGTACTTCCTGCTTTGGAGAGACAAAGAGAAATATTTTTCTGGCACTTCTGTAAGTAGACGTTGCTATTTTTATAGGAGGCTCTAGGATCCTCATCTTTGTGATTGGGATCTATACCCAAGACTCTGTGACTATGAAACTTAGACACTCTGCATTGACATGCCTCTGATGGATTTGATAGCCAGATTAACATATGATAAATTGAGTATGAACATGCTAAGGTTCACATACTAACTAAATAAGAATAGATTCCTGGAACATTTGCTATTAAAACAACACTGTATAAATTACCACAATGCCTGACATATAGGATGCTCTCAATACATGTTCAGTTCATGGAATTTTTCAACAAATGAGGACTGTGTGATTTTTGTTCATGGACACTATCAGGAAAGTTGCTTTTATTTATAACTGTGACTCAGTGATTCAAAAATAGAATTCAGAAATATAAGCTGCCACGATAAATAGCAGAGGTTATTATAGACCTAATAAAATTGCAGCTCTCCAAAATACTGTCATAAAACATTTTAAAGGCAACTTTGAATAGGGATTCATCTTACAGATAGATTACACATAGTAAACTACTGTATAAAATTATATATTAAGTGTATATGAAACATTAACTAATTTCAAGTTTATATTTGACTCCTATATCCAATATACATCTCTATATATCTTATTGCCTATATGTAAATACCCTGAAATCTAAAAAGATTTGATGTCTGAATTTTTTCTATACCAAAGTATTCAAAATAAGTGATGTTGAAATTATACTCCCGCCCAGAGCTTAAAGATATTGAGGAAAACTGGTAAGGCTAAGAGTAATTATGAAATATTGAACATGAATTTATCAAACTATTCCAAACTTGTTGAAATGGTAAGTCCTCTGAAAATCATAGAATTTTGTATTACATGGTATTAGGAACACTGCATACTGGAAATGTCTGGCTATCATTATATACTAACTAAGATTCAATGTAATACAATAGTATTGCAAAGGAACAATTATTTCAAACCAATACAACTTTGTATGTATTGGGGGAGATAGCAAAGACATTACCACCCCCCACTGAATATTCAGAAAAGCCCTCTCAAAATGCTAGCGATATAACTTATTTTTCAGTTCCAGAAAATGGGGACAATTTCATTACATTTTAACAAAATCTGGTTAGCACATGCAGGTCAGATATTCAGAGAGCTCACTGCTTTTTATTCCTTCAGCTGAATTTCTTCCCCAAGGAGACTCATTTTGTTCAGATAAAGGGCTTGAGGATGCATCTGGATAATTAGGTTCTTGTGTATAATTTGGAAAGCTAGAGTGTATAAAGCATACGTAATCGGTTTTTTTTTTTCCGGTCCTGTCTGTGCCCTAGGATTTAGATCTCAGGATGTTATCATCTATGATGATGTGGACACAAGTGAGAAAGAACCAAAGTAAGTCCATTTACTTCACTGGTCATCCCTGCTGGAGCCAGCCACGCAGGCCTGATGCTTTGTTAAATACGTTTGGAGAGCCAGATCCTGAGAGACCGAACAAACATCTCCAAAGAGAAAACAACGAATGCACCCACAGGCATCCGAACAGTGGTACCAAGTCAAAGGCATTGGAGCTAAAGGGTGTTTGTTTCTTATCTTTGAGTCTAGAGACTTGAAGTTGTCAACACATTTAAGGAGTAATCTTTTGTGTGCACTGCAAAATGCAGGATAGCAAGGGCTGTTTGGTAGAACCGTTTTCAAGGTTTAAGTCACTATTCTTACCTCGGTACCCCTCACAGCTCCTTCCTTTCCATCTCCACCAAGCAGTTGGTGATGGAGGCCTTTCATTTTCATCTACCTGTCCCTGCTCACTTTGCTTGGACTTGTGCTAGGGTCTTGGGAAAGCCACCAAGAATGCTTTGTTAAACTCAAGAGACATACTTGGATTTTTCTACAGTATTTAAAATTTTGGTCATGCCATCCTTAAAGAGGAAAAGTATCTTGTCCCCCCCCCCTGTGATTCCAGCCAACAATTTCAAGTTCCTCCTCTTGACTTTCCTTAAGCTTTTGGTGTGAGTTCTGGGTCACACATTCATAAGTGTAGTATAATCTTAGGATGTCCTATAAAAGTTCTATTTTTCCTTCATACACTCCTTGTTTTTCTGAGGATTGACACAAGATTGCACGTATACTAAACAAGCACTCTACACAGCCCTTATCCTTCTCTTTATGTTATCTCATTTCAGGGTTTTGCTAAGTTGTCGATGCTGTCCTTGAACTTAGAATCTTCCTGCCGTACATTCTCAAGTATCTTGAGTTACAGGTGTGATTCCCCTAATCTTCACTCCTATATATTTTTTACTGTTATCTCACCTATACACAAGATTTCAATTATAACCAAAACATCAAAATTTATGTTTTAAATTTTGAATATTTTCTGAGTCTCAGTAAGCCTGCAAGGTCACACTACCTAAACTCAGCAGGTTTACAATAATGCAGAATACTAGTTTTTCTTACCCACACTTCTCTTGTAATCTCTACATTCAAGATTATAAACACAGTCATCCTTATGCTTTGTCCTTGATCTCAAATCTCCTGCCCACCCTCCCAAGTTCTTCTTTTACTGTCTTTCAAACTCTTCTCGCTTTAAACATTCAGTGGTTATGCAATATCCTCCAAATGAAGTACACACTGCTCCTGGAAACCCCTTGGCTTCACCTTCACTCCCCCTATTCTATACTACTGGGAGTTCCTTGAACTCCAAAATTCTCCAGTTTTTCAAGCCTTCAAGTGGTCAAACATCATTAATTCATTCAACAAATACTTACTGATCATGTACTCAGTGCCAGATATTGGCTGTAAAGCAATTCACAGACAAGATAGAATACCTAGATTTGGGATAGGGCATGGGATGTGCTTGTGATTTTTGTCCAGTAAATAATGAAAAAACAAATCTATAGTTATGTGTTGGGATTTGGTTGTATTGGACCAGAATATCTGAAAGTAGATGAAGGTGTGTAGAAAGCAGTCTACATGGCCCTTGGTTGTTGATTTTATTTTATTTTGTTTTATTTGGAATTTTGCCAAATTGCCCAAGCTTACCTTGAACTTCCTACCTTAACTTTCCAAGCTGCTCAAATTACAGGTGTGATGCCCCAGGCTTGGCTTCTTTGTAGTTTTTAATGTTCTCTCATCCATTTCCATAATCATGATGGAAATTATATCAAACTTTATATTTTAAGGTCAGATTTTTTTTCTGAGGTGGGGTAAGCGTCAGGAAGTGGTTGATATTAACTTACAGTAGCTCGTTCACCTCTGCGACTTTAAATACTTGGGTTAGGTACCGCCTTTTTATTAGACCATTATCCTCACAGATGCAAGAATCCATTTTCTTGACCATGTTTTCCTGTAGTCTCAGAACTCTGTGATTCTATGCCTTTGGCTTTCAGATCTAAATCATGTGGCCTGACTCCAAAATACAGTTTGTTAAGTTGATCTTAATATAAAACTGCAAAAAAAAAAATAATCTGGACTCTCAACACGGTAGCTTTAGTGTCCGTTAGAGTGTCAGCGTCTATACCGAAGCAGTGAAAAACAGTAACAGTTGACAGATGGGGGCTGGGACAAGAGGAGAGGTGAGAAACAGGCCACAGTTGGTAGACAACTGTATGCATGAAAACCTCTGTTTTCGAAGTTTCTGCAATAAGTGTGGTGATACACGCCTTTAATCTAGAAGCAGAGGCAGGAGGATCTCTGTGAGTTTGAGGCCAGCCTGATCTATACAGTGAATTCCAGGCCAGTCAGCATTGCACAGTAAGATTCTGCCTGAGGAAAATAATCAACGTTTGTTGGAGCATAAGGCATATTAGCAGAAAAGAAGTAGATGTAGCATGACATGAGATTCGAAGAAGGCTTTGGAACTTTTAGGCAACAGCCCTATAATACAAAGTTAAAAAAATGAAACTTTTTCCATGAAAAATAAATTGTTAAATTATAAAGCACAATAAAGCCAGCCACCCCATCTCTATTAACCAATCACCAGAATATGGCCAACCCTGTCCTTATCACCATATTCATACTCTTCACCCCTATACTCCTCACCCCCACACCCCCACCCCATACTCACTGCTCACTGGCCTCCCCCAGGGTGAATTCCTTCCCTGTTTTTGTTCTTTTCTTTTTCTCCTCAAAAAAAAAACCCAGGTTTATTGAATTATAGATGACAAAAATACTGGTTCATTGTAAAAGTGATTTCATCCTTTATGTAAAATTCTGTGCTTGGTTTTACTCAAACCCACTGTCTTGCTACCATGATTCGTTCATTTGTATTGCTCTTTGATTGACATACCAGTGTGTGTATGTGTGTGTGACATTAATTCATCCATTCTCTTGCTGGGTAGGTCCCTAGTTCCTGAGTGATTTTGCATTTGTGATCAGTGTTTCTGCAGATACAGATGCATGTATCCTGCAGGCACTTGGAAGGGGAAACACAGACCATGCATGGAATACAAACTCATGAGTGCCAGCCTAGCACATAAGGGTTTGCACTGATTCCCATGTTAGCACATGGGACAGAGAAGCCATTTTTGTCAAGTCAGTGCCTGTAAATAGTATCACATCATTACAGTAACTGTCACCACTAACAAGCGTTAGTGCAGAGTTACTCACACCCGTGTCCTTCTATAGAGTCTACCCATATCTTTTGATTGCATATCTGTTCTGTTGCTGATATTTTTCTTCATATTGGGTTTTAAAACAGTTTTTGGACACAGTTCTTTTCCTACTCTCATGTTAGTTCCTACGATATCTTTTCCAACTGTTGACTAGCCTTTTCAAATTCGTATCTAGTCTTCCAATGGATAGAATTTCAAATTCTTAATGTATTTTCAATTATCAATTTTTTTGAACCTTCTCCTAGCTCATATGACATTTTCCTATACTCTCTTCTAAAAATTACAGTTTTACCTTTTAAACTTAATGTTTAGACCCACTTGACCTGGTTTTTTTTTTCTTTCTTCTTGTTTTTCAAGATAGAGTTTCTCTGTATAGCCCTGGTGTCCTGGAACTAGCTTTATAAGCCAGACTGGCCTTGAACTCACAGGCCTTGAACTTGAATCCCCTGCCTCTCCTGTGCTGGGATGAAAAGCATGTGCCACCATGGGCCTGCAGAAGAAAGGTTTCCCTGACACAGAATCAAACCTGACTTGGCAGCAACAGTGCTGAATCCTAACCATTAGACTACCATGGAGCATCAAGTAGCTTGTGAACTGAGTTTTATGTTAACAACAACATGATAGCCAGTTGTTTTCTTCTATATGGATAAACACCCCTTCCATGATTTATTGAATGATCTCTTATCTTCCCCAGCAACTTTCAATGCCATTTTGTCACGTCAAGTGCCTCAGTAGCTGAAGGTCTGTTTCCAGGCTCTCTGTTTTCTTCTATGGTCACTTCTATCCTAATTACAGTGTGAAAGTAGCTGCATTCTCTAGTTCCTCTTCTTTCCTGCTGCTCCAAAACCTTTAAAGACTTGGGGTATATTGTTTTAGTAAAGAAAATAAACTTGGAAGTGGGTGTTTGCCCTGTCTATTCCCTTTTTGTACTCATGCTGTGGCTCCTTTTAAACCATTTCACACACAGCTCATATGAAGGCCCGTTGTGTGCCTAGGATTGTGCATGGCTTTAGCAGGTCCATGTGGACAGTGTCAGAGTCCCACCTCTGAGCTGGAGCAGAGACGATGAGCATGCATGCAGGCTTAGAAGTGATTCCTAGGGTCTTCCTCCAGGCTCCAAAGGTAACAGATGGTGAAAAGAGAGAGTGGGGGAGTCTCAGCAAGTCCAGAGGCCTCCTAAGAGCCTTCTCAGTTGCAGCTTCAACAGCAACTGAGGAGCTGAATCCTTCCTCTCCTGGTGGAGCCTGTGACCAGCATCTGAAGGAAAGTGGTCTTGGTGGTAGAGGTCTGTAACTCCAGCTTCTAAGGAGGCTGAGGCAGGCAAGTAGCAAGTTCAAGGCCTACCTGGGCCTCATTGTTTGAAAATTGGGATATAGTTGTGTGACAGAGCACTTGCCTCCCTGGCATGTGCAAACCCCTGAGTTCAGTCCCCAGGACTGCACACTCTTAAGGTAATCATAACATAATGTCTACGAAAATGTAGAAAATGTATAGTTTCTCAGCCATGTGTCCTTGTGTTTATTGTTTTTCCAGTGCAGTTTCTGAAGTATTTGGGTATATCAACACTATAGACATCTAGATGGTTAGTAGAAGTGGGGGGAGGTCCTCCTCTTTCTTTCCTTCCTTCCTTCCTTCCTTCCTTTTCTTGTATCTGTGATGGACACCCCAGTAACTTAGGGAAGAGATATTTTGAAGTGGTAGTATGGTGAAAAACCTATGGACTCTGGAGTAATCCATACCTACATTCAACAGCACTAATTCCTCTGTCACCATGACAAGTTGTCCAGCACTCTGATCATCCCTTTTACTTCTCGGGAATACTTAGAATGACAAGAGATTAGCAAGTAGTCAGTATGACAATCGAGTGAGCTATCATATGTAAACTGAGTAGCAGAAAAGCTAATAGGTGCTCAAATGTTCCCAATTGTTCTATAATACCTTTCCCATTATATATATATATATATCTATATATATATGTGTGTGTGTGTATGTATATGTGTGTGTGTGTGTGTATATATATATATATATATATACACACACACGTATCATGAACTGGGATCCACATGAAAAAAACCCACAAAGTTTGTCACCTCATTTAATATTACTTTCCAAATCTATCCATTTTCCCAACAAATTTCACTTTTATTTAGAGCTAAAATTCCACTGCATTTATGTACCACATTTTGGAAAAGGATTATTTTTAAATATGTGAATGTGTGTGCATGTGAGTGCAGGTGCTCTTGGAGTTCCGAGGTGCTGGATCCCCTGGAGTTAGTGTGCTTGGCAGTTGTGTGCTGGGCACTACACTTGGGTTCTGTGTAAGACCAGCACACGCTCTTAACCCCTTAGCATCTAGGCTGATTCCATTTCCTTGTTACTGTGAGAGCTACAGCAATGAAAGTAGATGTGGAAATACCACTGTAGGAAGCCATTTGGGGATACGCCCTAGACCTGGGTTATTTGGTAATTTTATTTTTAACATTTTAGAAAACTTCAGACTTATTTCTACAATAAGTTATGCTAATTTGCACTCCCATAAGCATTAAGTTTTGGTGATGTTTGCTGTTCCTACCGGGGAGAGGTACATCCTTAGCCACTGGTGAATTGCAAGTTTACTAGTAGGATTTATTTATACTTTAGAGACAAAAAAAAATTCTGAAGCTCAGAAAGGAAATAGGTATAATTGCAAGCTGGTTAATTTGGTTTCTGCTTTCAAATCTGGGTCACTCAGATGGGAGGTCAGCAGCTTCAGGCCTGTGGGCCAGTGTGGCCTGCTCTTTGTTTCAGGAAATGAAGTCCCAACAGTGGAGTTAATAGTTACTATAGAGAATGCAGCCTGTAGAGCCCAGATGCTCATTGTACAACCTTGCCACGTATATGGAAACAGATCTCTGGGTGAAGTGTTCTCTGTACATCCTTGCTGTGAGTAAGGAAACAGATCTCTGGGTGAAGTGTTCACTGTACATCCTTGCTGTGAGGAGGGAGATGGATCTCTAGGTGATGAACTCACTGTATATCCTTGCTGTGAGTAAGGAAACAGATTTCTGGGTGAAGTATTCACTGTACATCCTTGCTGTGAGGAGGGAGATAGATCTCTAGGTGATGAGCTCACTGTACATCCTTGCTGTAAGGAAACAGATCTCTGGGTGAAGTGTTCTCTGTACATCCTTGCTGTGAGTAAGAAAACAGATTTCTGGGTGAGTCGAAAGCATTGGTGGCTCTGTAAATGTTTGCTGCTTCAATCTTCATTTACTTGATCAAGACAATTTTTTCCTCAGAGATGAAGATAAACTAAAAACGTGGAAGCCTAAGTTTTTGATATCAAAAGGGAAAAGAAGCGGTGACGGATCCAAAAGGTAAGAACACAAGTGTGCTCACAGCGTCACTGCTGCAGGTCCCGCCTTACCAGCTGCCGACCGTAGGCGAGTCCTTAAATTTGATTTTCAGGTACCTTGTCTGCACCTGAGAATAGCAGCACTTGCCTCATAGTACAGTTGAGGGGATTCAAAGACAAAGGTATAAACAGAGTTCCTTACATTCATTTCCAACCCCATCCCTACTCTCCACTGATGAGAAACTAGCACGAGAGGCAGCTCTTAGCAAACGAAGGCCTTCCAGACTGCTTGTCTTTTAGGCCATAGCAGTGTTCCTCCAGATGGGCAGAGCTTAACTAGAATAGCAATTAAGAATGATCGGTGCTGCTAAGATGAAAGGTTAGCTGTGACTACAGTTAGTGTTACAATGCAATCGTAATGCGTTACCCGCTTGGGATCTTAACCTCCATCCAAGTGCTTCGGACTGCACTGGCTGCTGGGGAGGGTATGTGCTTACTTAGCTATGTTCTCCTCTTCCAGTTGCTGTGCATGAGGTAGGGTCAGGCACTTTGACAAACCTCTTGGGGAAATCCTTAGTAAACAGTGAGTGGTTTTGGCTGTACCAAGAAACCAACGGTTTTCTCCTAGTGTATCTCAGAAGTCAGACATTTGTCCACAACAAAAGTTGAAACAACTCAGAGTGGCAAAGGCAACCCCTCCCTTACATTTATTTTTTCTCAATTTGGAAAGAGGTATTCAGATTAGAAAAGCAGATGATTTTCTTTTTTTTACATTAAACATCATACTTGTTTGCATAGCACTGCAAAAGAGAAATCCAAGAAGTTCGGTGTCAGGAAGGCTTCTGACTCTTTGTCCAACAGTCAAACACCTGTGTATGCTGCTAGGAAGTAGCATTTTGCTGTAGGTAGTTCAGAGACACTGAAGGATGTTAAACAAGAGTGGAGTGATTAATTTCAGAAAGACATTCTCTGTGGGCATGGAAATGGTTTTGTCTGAGATGGACATTTCCAGATTCCTGGCTTTTTATTCAAGAAAGGAATAATAACCAACACACACTACAAAGTATTTAGGAAACTTTATTCAAATAGCTAGAACAGGTCAGAATACATTATAAGAGAGCAGCAGGGTCACAGGTTATTGTTTGAGGCTGCTTCCTATGAGATCCAAGAAAGCAGGGGCCAATTACTCACATGTGAACTTAGAGCGGTTCTCTTGGACTGGGTTACAAAATCATGTCCCATCCCATAATGCACTTGATTTTAATCATGTGTGTGTCCAGTTATGGGTAACTATAAAATGGTAACTGGGGGATTCTCCCTTAAAAGTTCACTTGGGAACATGGTTTTCTTTATCACATGTGTACCCAAAGCCAGGTAAGGTCTTTCCATTTCTGTAGTAAAATATAAGCAGTACAACTGAATACAAAAATCTGAGTTGGGTAATAGTGAAAGGTATAGGCAGTATGATGCAGACTTGTTCAGAGATGTGCAAGTCTCAAGCTGTTGAGTGCATTTTTAGGCCCTACAAAGTGTAGGGTATCAAGTTGCTAAATGTGCTTGCCACAATAATCTGCAAGAATGTGGCTGTGACTAGACCCATGGGAAGGTATACCCCAATATGGGAGATACTCCTCACTGAAAGAGCTAAGAAGTAGAACCAAACATCATTTGTAAAGCAGGAGGGATCTCAGTCAGCTTCTGGTGTACATTATTAGTCCATTTTGTGTGTTTCATGCTTCACCCATCTATTTCTTACTTTTCCTGGGATAAAATATCCCCCTAAGCCAACTTCAGACAGAAAGCGTTTATTTTGGCTCATAGTTCAGGGGTGTAACCCATCACCCTGGATCTTATTGTTTACAGTGAAAGCACTCAAATGTTGCCAAAACCAGTTACCTTATTGAGGTGTTTTATGACAAATGTCCTCCATAGTCTCAGGCATTTGAATACCTTGTTCTAGTTGGTGGCACCGTTTGGGTATATTTAGAAGATACGGTCTTTCTGAAGAAATGTATGTCACTTGAGGGTGGGCTATGAGAGTTTAAAGACTCATGTCGTTTCTAGTGTGGTCTTTGTTTGGTGCTCCAGTCACTGTGTCTGCCAGTTCCCTGCCACAATGAGCCCAAATAAACACTTCCTCCTGTAATATGCCTTAGTCACAGTGTTTTCTCATTGCAATAGAAAAAGAAAAGTAACTGATACACCTACTCTATAAAACGTTATTTCTCTTATCCCACTTCTCCTCCTGCACTCAATGTTCTCTCCATATCAAGTTCATTTTACTTCATGCTTGCTAACAAAAATATTCTTAGAGATATAGCTCAGTGGTAGAATGCTGATCTAATATATACGAGGCTCTGGGTTCCATCTTCAGCACTGAAAAAAAATACAAAAACATATGTATGTAAGAAACAGAAAAATAATTGGTATTACCTTTTTCAGTAGTTATGAAAATCTGCTCTAGTAGAGGGGTATGTATAGATAGATGAAATATATACATGTATATATTATATAAAGTTATACGTGCACTAAATTACACCTGAGTTTATCCCAAGGCAGGATTACTTCAGACTCACAAATTTAGGATTTTGTTATGCTACACTTAATCTTACCCATGTTATTTCTTTCCAGCTTTTCTCCCAGAAATTTCTTCAGAACTAAGAAGCACAACTTAGAAAAGAATAGAATGGAAAAAGAAGAAAAACTTTTCAGAGAAAGATTTCAGGTATGTTCTCTTCTGAAAGTGAAAACTAACACTATCGACAATTAAAATTTTCCACTCTTCAAGGCTCCATTAGTTTGCTGAGATAAAGATCTGATCTTTTGACTAAAACAGTCAGATACACACCTGTACTGGCATGCCTTTGTACGCTGCTATTCCATCCAGTAAAGCTTCTATTCAAATCTCACTGCATCAGCCCATCTGTGCAATACTGATTATAAGGAGACCCTTTCATATTTCAGTTCCCAGTGTAAAAGTGGATGTGTTGTGTGTGAGGGAGTGAGTGGAGCATTTTCCACTGCTCCCAAGTCGAACTGGTCCTTCCTGATTTCATATTCTGCCAAAGTGAGAACTTCTGAATTCAGGAAACATTTTAAACAATGAGTCAGAGTGACCAGAAATGTTTGGTAGTTTCCTCAAGTCATGACAGCAGCCGGTCTGTTTTCTCTCCTCACATTCTGTGTCTGCTCTTTCTGCTTTGGTAACAAATGCTCACACTCTTTCTGAGCGAGCTTGCACCTCTCCCTCCCTGTGGCCTCCTTCCTCCAGGCACCAGCTTGGTCTACTCTTCATCTGCTATCCCCCCGCTACTTTCTCCATCTGAGGTGTTCACTTATCAAGACCCAGTTGAGGCATCTTCTCATTCCAGAAAGACCTGCTCAAACTTCCGATTAAGGAAATTGCTCTTCTGCTTACCTACAGACCAGTTCCTGGTGCAGTTCATAATACTGAACTGTGAACTTCTAGGAGACACAGATTATCTTCACAACCACGTGCTCAGCAGAGAACACTACCTCACACTCCATAAACATCCCAAACTGTTTTAGAAAGTGAACTTTACATAAGACTATACATAAATCCTTTAACCTCTAATGTCATTTATTTGGCCAAAGCTGCTAAGGAAGTTATTATCTGAAATCACTACACATTAGATCAAAAACAGTGTAGTGATCTCTGGTTGAAAAGACCCTTATAATCCACCAAGGCTTTCTTCTTTGTCTGTCCCAAATGGGACGGAAATCCCATCTCCTCTATGTTTATGAGTCTGTCCCTTATTACCTGAGGTGGGCTTCCAGTTATCTTTAGGAAAATATATTCTATTTCAATCCAGCTCAAATTAAAAAATATTATGTACACATCACTGTTGACAGAACTTGAGGGTACAAAGGCGAGGAACACTCGCCTCTAGTTTCTTTTTAAAAGGCAATGTGTTTACTACATCCTACAATAGGAATATATTTAGTACAGTTACAGTAGTACGTTGTTCATGTAGTCACAAAGACATATAAGAGGTTGTGAGCAGCAGAGTATTTCAAGTACAGAGAGAGCACACTAGCTCACATAAGTCAAGGCCTGGAGTTATGGGAAGTATATGTTTACAACGCACCATGGGACTTCCAGGTGTTTCAGTAAGGACAAAGATAAAGGGACAAGGAATAACAGTGTACAAAGGACCCTGAATATCAAGCCAAAAAATGTGGACCTCTTCCTAAAGGCAAAAGAGACTTCAGAACTGTGTAACTAGGAAGGAGGCCAACTTCAGATTTGTTTTTTAAAAAGCCACTGCGAATTCATCCCAAACAAAACAATGGCCTAGAGAGAGGAAGAGATGCTAGGGGTTTGTGAGGGTAGCAGGTGGTGCTCTTAGTCAGGTGAGGTGACATTACAGGTCATCCTAATCTGCTGAAGTAAACACCAATGATTGAAGCTACCTAACCTAGTTTTTGTTTTCCTGCTCAGTGCATGAGAAGGTGAAGTACCCCGTAGGCCAGCTCACTAGGAAGCAATCCAGTGGGATCAGGAACTGAATTTCCCACCAAGGATTGCTCCCCCACAAATGCCTGTCTTTCACCATACACAGTGGGCATCCCCCTGCCGCATATACCCAACTACCACCATTTTAACATACACATGCTCTTCACAGGTGAGGACGGACCATTATCCTGAAACAGAAAGTTACCTCTACAGTTTTGTTTAAATGTTTCCTCTCCTGCGTTAGGAGGTAGCTTTGTTACTGTTTCAGCATGCCAGGTGTGGGATATTCACACCCACCAGGACTTGTTCTAATATGTATCAGTGATATGAAAACAGTTGTAAAATATGAGCACATTAGACAAATGTTTTGGTTTGGATTTTGCTATTAAGGGACTTTCACTGTAATGCCCTATCATTTATTTTGTCAGTATCTAGCATCCCTTTTTGAGATTACTATATTGTATCTTTCATTAATTCTGTTGTAATAACTATGCAGGCATGCCCTTACTAGAGTAATTTCTCATTTTAGTATGGTAAAGAGATCGTGGTTATTAACAGAGCAGTGGCATGCTCCAGCAACTCACGAAATGGAATATTTGATCTGCCAATAACTCCTGGGGAACAGCTGGAAGTCATCGACACCACTGAACAAAACCTAGTGATATGTCGTAACTCCAAAGGCAAATGTGAGTTTGTTGAACTTTTTTCTTTTAGTTAAAATTTTTCTCTAGAAATCTCAGGTTAGTAATGTGAGTTTTGTTTCTACAGATGGATATGTGCTCATTGAACATCTACATTTCAAGTAAGTTTAGTCTTAAAGGACTACCAAGTTTATTAGGAAACTAAGTATGCAGCTAGTTTTCAGCATACCAGATGTGGTAGATTCACACCCACTATGAAGCTACGAAAACTAGCTTCCCAGAATTTGGGAAGCCGGAGGATCTCTGAGTTCAAGGCCAGCCTGGTGAGTTCCAGGATAGCCAGGACTACATAGATTAACCCTGTCCATTGAAACCTAGCTATATAGTGCAATTTCTCAAACTACATCAGAGAAAGTCTTAACCCTGGACTCCTGAGTATACTAACCAAACTAACATGCAGAACTCATTTGTAACAGTTTTTAAAAATCATCTGAAATCTCCTAACTGTTGCATTTACCATCCAGTTCATGTGTTTGCATGTTCTCTTTTGTGTTCCAGGCATCAGGGATGATCCCATTAGGAAAGTATGCATAAGTCAGGATGTGCCCCAAGTGTGAGTCCGGCCTTAGAGTACTCTCAGTTCCTGTGTCCAATGAGATGGGATGGTCTGTGGACACTTCTGTCAGAAAGTCGGAAGAAAATTCTCAATGTTGGCTTTACTTCAGAAAAGTTTGTCTGTCAGTGTCTAGTTTACTGCTGGTTCAAGAGACTGTGAGACAGAGCATTAGTATGTGAGCGCTTGCCTTATGGCACCAGTGAGCTGTGCAGATGATTAGTCAACTTCTGATGTTAGTACACATCGAATGTGATTTCTGGGTGCACATCTACATTTCATATGAACCCTAAGTAGTAAATAGTGTAACCATGGCACTTTCAACACTAACAACCAAAAAAAACCACACCTGAGCCATAATCATTTTTTTAAGATAAGTACTACTGAAGGAAACAGTTTGCTGAGGAAAAAAAAATCCTTTCCAAATTCAACCTGAAGTATTGTTTAGAAGTGTTTAAGTACATTTAATGAAAATGTGAAAATATATACATGTATCATGTTAAAACTTCATACTACTTAAAATAGGGAAATTAGTTTGTCTATGCCCAGAACATATCCAAATATATTACATTCCCATGATAATTCATAGAAATTGCAGAGTTGTAAATAACATGCTGGTTCTACCTGATGTACACTGTATGCTAATAATAAATTTTACATATACTTTCAACTGTTCGATTTTTTTTCCATTTCCTAATTTTCTAGAGGACCCAAAGCTCAGTTCCCAGCACTTACATGCAGTAGCTCACAATACCTCTAGATGAAACACCCTCCTCTGGCCTCCAGGGTACCTGCTGTCATGTGGCTTATGTTCCCAAAAACACACATGAAGAGAGTCTTCCTCGGCTCTTTAAGTAGCAGGCACGGTGTAAGGCGTTTCCTGACAGCCTCATCCTTTCTACTTCAAAGCTACTTTTGAGCTACCATGTTCTTCCATCTTCCTCTACATGGTTCAGGTGGATGTTTCCATTCTAAAACACATGAATCAAAGCTTAGCAAAACTAAACACATTATACGTGAAATGACCAAAGGATTAAGAAAAGTGTTACAGCAAAAGTGGCACTAAATGTTGAACAATCTTCTTGTACACTGTGAAGACGTGTTATTCTCATTGGTTTAGTAAAGAGCTAAATGGCCAATAGCCAGGCAGGAAGGGGTTAGGCAGATTTGCAAACAGGGAGAGAGCTCTGGTATGAAAAGGATAGAGTTGCCAGAATACTAGTAGAGAAGCAAGATGAACATGCCATGCTGAGAAAAGGTACCAAAGTCATGGTAGACTATAGATAAAACATATGGGTTAATTTAAGTTGTAAGAGCTAGTTAGTAACAAGCCTAAGCTATGGAGCATTTGTAATTAATAAGTCTGTGTGCTTATTTGGGAGCAGCTGGCAGGACAGAAAATTCCACCTACAACTTGAAATAAAGACACAAACTATGAAAAATCTATATTCTTCTTGCACTGTGAAAAACTTCAGGCAAATGATATGCACTAGGCCTGGTAGAAATGGCTTCCTCTAAAGACAGGGGGACCCAGTTAAGGATTAGACTAAGACGAAATGCCAATGTTTGGGAAGGAATTCATGGAGATAGGGATACAAATTACCGAGAAAAAAAAAGACTTCTTTGCAATATTCACAAGAAAGTTCATAAGACCCCACACCTAGATGAAGAGCTACAGGCAATCAATGGCTTCTGAGAGAGGGAAACTCTGTCTTCTATAGCAACATGCTCCCTGATTCATTATACAAGTCCAAGGAGTCAGCTCTAAACACATGTACATAGGAAGAACACTAAATAGGCTCGGGGGGGGGGGGGGGTGACAGTAATTATTACAGGAGAGTCATGAGTAGCAGAAATGACACAATTACAGTACTCACAGGAGTTTCAAAGAAAAAGCGTTAGGTTAAAAGAAAAATGTATGATTTATCTATTTTTTTGCCTTTGGAAATGAACCTTAACAGGCAAAGACAGATGCAGCCTTAACACATCATCACAAGTAAATAAAAGAAACGAGCAGGTACAGCCCTACTGAGGCCTGACACATTGGACTCAGGACTGAAGGCAGTCACAAGACATAGGCAAGGCCACTTCATTTTGATTACAGGAACAATTGTAAACATACATTCAACATCAGTGCACCTAATCCCACTAAACAGACCCAGCTGGATATAAAGCCCTATAGTAATATGGGTAGGTGACTTCAACACCCTGCTCTCACCAACAGTCAACCAGACATAGCAAGGAAACATCAAGTAAACTTAATATTTCATCTGCAGAGTTCAGAGTACACATTTTCAGCACTCTAAAAATAGACCACATTTTTTAACACAAAGCAAGTCCTAACAATTTTTTTAGAAAATACTGAATTTCTTGTATTCTATATGAACACAATGACTAAAACTAGAAATAAGAGTATTTAACTCATGAAGATAGGACAACTATTGAACAATGACTGAGTTATAAAAAAAGGGGGGGGATAAATTTCAGGATGTTTAGAACTCAAATGCCAGAACCTGTGCTATATTCTGAAAATCTCCAGTGGGAAGTGTGTGGTTATAAAACTGAAAATGTAGCCCAAGGTATTGGTCCCATCATTCATCTCAGTATTGTCATGAGTAGCCGAAGGTTTTGGCCATATTGTCACTTCAGAAGTCAGTGCATATTTCCCAAGGCTTTCCCTTGCCAATCACCCTGGAGGTCAACACATGTGCTGCCAGGGCTCCCCCCTCCAGTCCCCATCACCAGGGAGGCCATTGCACTCACCAAGGCTTCAGCCATGCCCACAGTCCTGCTGTCACCTAAGCAAGGCCAGATCACTGCAGCCACTTTGCCTGTGAGTAAGCGCCTGTTGGCTCCAGTCCTCACAGCTGCAGTTCACGTAGGTGTAGCATTGGAAATGAAGGGCCCAACCCTTAGCTACTGGGAACCGAACATGGACTCGCGATATTTGCTAGTGAAAACTAGACAGGGTTGAGAGTTATCCCCCTTGTGTTTGTTTTGCTTTATTAGTAAGCACGTGTTTTCATCCTGTGTCTTTTTGTGTTCTGTTGCATTTTTGGTTTTGTCTTGTTAATATTTTACTAGTTTTTTATATTTATTCATAAATTTATATATTATTAACTCACTGTGTTTTAACCTGTGTCACTGGAATGGGGCTTCTGAGATGGCTCAATAGTTGCGAACACTGCTCTTCTGGAGGACCCCACTTTAATTCTCATCACCTATGTAAAAGCTCACAACCATCTGTAACTCCAGTTCCAGGGGTCACATGGATAAGTGTATTGCTTACTTTTCTATTGCTGAAAAAGAATGTCCAAATATAGACAATATTCAAATAATCCAACATGACTAGGTTCTTCAAAACAAGGTCTCATTCTTGGTACCAACTTCTGTACCAGTTACTTTTCTATTGTTGATAAAACATCATGACCATTCCAGAGGGACAAGAGGCCATCATGATGAAGAGGCATAGCAGCAAGCAGTAGACATGGCTGCAGGAGCAGAACGTTGGGAGTTCACATCTTGAACTGCAATCATGAAGCAGAGAATGTAAACTAGAAGCAGGCAAAGATACACATCTCAAACTTCCTTCAGCAAGTTGACTCCTAAACCTCCCAAAATAGTGCCACCAATTGAGGAACAAGGGTTCAAATATCTGAATCTATGGAGAGCCATCTCATTCAAATCCCTCAGAAATGAATAAACATGTAACTGAAGCTCCATTGCTTCCATTTAACTAACAGTAAAGATGTTCACCAAGATGAATCATCATAAGGACAGAAATCACAGGATCATTTCAATTGATGCAGAAAAGACAACAAAATTTAACATGTCTTCATAACAAAAGTCTTGGAGAATTTAGGGATAGAACATTCTACAAACTAAAAGATTACAAATGACAAACCTGTAAACAACAGTATATTAAACAAGAAAAACCACTTAGGTGGTAGATTGCTTACCTTGTATGCATGCGACTCTGGGTTTAAAACAGGAATGCCTCTAATCCCAACACTTGGGAGGTAGACATAGAAGGATCAGAAATTTGAGACTCCATAGTGAGTCTGAGGTAAACTTGTGTTACATAAGATCCTGTCTCAAAAACAAAACAAAACAATAAAACAATAGGAGGAGAAGGGGAAGGAGAAAGAACAGGGTCAATTAAAAAAGAGGAAGATGAAGAGGAAGAAATACTACTCATAGTTGTTATATTACTACTATTAGTAGTAATAGTAATAATTAACAATAAATGTGCAGTAGTAGTAGACAACTTGTGTTCAGTCACCTGAGAAAATCCAAGAATACCTGTGGCACTTCCAAGAATACAATACATCTGTGCTAAGTTCTTAAAATTGTGGCAATTTGTTATTTAAAAAAATAGAACACTTAGATATGGCTCAGGTTAAAAATACAGTGTACAGTAACAAAGACAAAAGTGTATAACAATGGTGCAAAATCTCCAATGAGTCATAAGCAATTTCTAAGACAGCTTCCTTAGGAATTATTAACTGAAACACAGAACAGCGGTTAATGACTGAACAGAAACAAAAATAGCTTTCAAATTAACCAGATTTTAATTTGACTTTGTGGAAAATGCAGACACATAATCAGATAGGCCACTTTTCTCTTGCATTTGTTGCCAATGAGTTCCATACAGTGCAAACATTAATTAGACAGAACCTGCAAATATGAAATGCTTTGCAATTCACTAATCTTTTCTACATGGTTATTCAAGATAAATCCTTCCCACCAATCATTTAACTCACAAAAATGCATAACAAATAAAACTGAAAGTAGAATCTATAGTTAAACAAAATCACTGTGAGTCTGTTGTCTTCTGTTCTGAAACAAACTATACAAATGTAGTTCCATTTCAACAATTTAACAATGTTCTTCAATAGAAACATACTCTAGCAGTGTACCAATGAGCTAATACATTAATACATTATGGGACTACTTTACAGGTTAAGAATGAATGCATGGTGTTCCTGAAAACAAATCAAATAATTACTTTCCAATAATCATGATATATTATGATCATACACATAACCTAGTATCTGCCAACTTTCAATTTTATTGTTTACACTCAAGAATCACTGTATAATCGTTAAACATGATGACAACACCATTACTCCCAAAATACTATCCTTCAAGGTCATAGTTATGACAGCTTCACAGTCAACACTCAAAACAGTACAACCATGGGTATTTGTGGACAGTATTGACAGAAATCTGTATTTTGGTACATTAAGGCAGCTTCAGCCAACATTCTGAATAACAATATTTATTGAAACAAAAGACAGGCTTTAAATATTTGAGGTTTCCAAGAAATTTTAAGTGTCTTACAACAAGAACACTATAATTTATGAAATTGTGTCTTAAACATTCTCAGCACTACGCTCTTATTACATACATCTAAAAACAAGGTACTCATCCTACCAGTATCAAAGGTGTCTAGTAAAACAGCAAAGATTGACATTGAATATGGGACTATAAACCCCTACTTCCGGGCTTTCAAACGACTTCTCACACACATCTGTGAGGTAGGTTATTATCCACATTTTGTACAAGAGAAAATTACACAAGGTTACATAACTTGTGCTGCTACAGTAGCAAACAGGGAACAGGATTTCAATTAGATTAGGTCTTTAGCTCTGCATTTCTTTCCTTTATAAACTTTAAAATATAATTGCATTTATTTTAAAAGCACAAGACGGCAGCCAAATATTTGCCCAGGTGGCTTTAAAAGGTGAAATAAGTGAAACAGAAACTCTATTCAGTGAACAACTGCCGGTGGTGACTGTGTGAAGCAGGATTGAAAAGGCAGAAGCAAATCACTATTTGTGATCATTTGTGGGGCAGGTCACAGGGAGACAGAGAACTCAAAAGAAAATGGAGTTTGTGTGTTTGCTTTTACTCTGCAATTATTTGAGAAGGCACCAGGTACTGTTTCTTTCTTTGTGTAGACAGTGGGTCTATGTCTCTTCCATTCTAGGAAAATGTTCGCCATCTCCAAAAATGGGCTTCATTTGGTAACAAAACTTATTTACAAGAGACTTTCAGCTGTGAAAATGCACATTTAGATTAGCAGGCGAGAAATAACAATGCAATTCTTTCCTAGGAAGATTCTGTTTCGCTTTGAAACTTTAAATTAACACAAAGTAGCAAATCTTGAATTTAAAAAAATCACTGTATAAACCTTATTTTTTTTTTAAAGTCTATGTTCAAAGTTTTCTTCATTCTAGGACATTCTACAAATCCTTAACTATTTTTTTTTAAACTGGAGAGAATATTACACCCTAGAATTTCCTTAATTGCACTTTAAATATAATTCAATTTACCCACCCTGCTTATCCAAATTATCATGAATGGCCACTATAAAATTTGAACTGCTTTTAAATATAAACTATAGTTACCAAAAGTCACATGCAGTCACAAACAGCATTGTTATACAAGGCTGCCAGTAAACATTAACGTTGGCTCACAAAATACAGGCTCCCAGTCTGATAACATCTATATGGACCTGATTCTCATCAGGTTATGGCTGAAGAAGTTTAATCAGAACTTAATCCAGTCTAGACTGTGGGTCCTGTTTCTCATGGTATAACTGTTTGGTGGCATCGACTGCATCATAAGTATTCAAGGAAAGGCAGGCAAAGAAGCATCTTACTTGTTTAAATAACATATATGTATATCTAAATATACATACATGAGTGAGTTTAAGCTCACTACCTTAAGCTACATTTGCAAGTTTTAAAAGGTTTGAGAGAATTTCTATCAAGCCAATAGTGATTAGGTAATTCATAGAGACACACTCTATGAAAATAGTGTCCTATCATTTATGTACAAAATAAAAAATTACCAATATGAAATTTAGATAAGCCTGTTTCAGATAACAGTCACAAACTATGATCATTTAGATAGGGACTGGGCTGGTTCTTTACAGGAGAATTTTCAGTATCACATAAATAAGGACAGGGGATTTAGGTCAGTGGACAAGCACTTGCTTCACATGTGAAGTCCTGGGTTTAATTCCCAGTACAAAACTCCCCATACCCCCAAAATCACATAAATAAAATTGAAGAAAAAATTATGTTCTAGATTTTTCTAGATTTTAAGCACCCTCAATAACTTATAAATACTTACAAAAATCAATATAATCATAAATATTTCACATAATTACATCTAGTTAGTGTAATCAACTAGCTGCTATAATTAAACTAGATATATTCAATCACAACTACTGTATGTCACTCCAGGACTTATAAGCAATACACCAGTGTTTATTTTTATTACTTGCCTATCAGATTTTCACAAACTCAAACTGTTCAGCCCAAAAGAAAGGTGAAGTGTTACAAAGGACGCTTGGTCACCAATGAATCCATGTATGGCACTCATGACTTATGGAGAGACTGCTGTTCCTGCTCACTGGACTGGTTACTGGAAGGAAGTGTATTAGCACTGCCACCACTATGTATTAGCTAGCCATCTTCTGGTTAATGCTAAATTCATGTGATGCTTTTGATTTGCTGATGTTTTTGCCATTTGCATTCCAGTAGTCCAAGTAGCTGTTTTTAGAATAATACAGGTGTATACACCTTTAAAATGCCTCAAACTAAGAAAGAACATTCATACTGATATAAAAAAAAACAAGTACATAAACAGTAGACACTAACACAAATTCTCTGAGGAAATAAACAAGTCAGAACTTTCAAGCTCAAAGGGAAACTAAGCTCTTTTCTCTATCCCTTGCATTTTAGGGTTTTGAAATTGAGTCCAAATCCAAGATTAAACTTACTAAGAGATGAACATAGCCTTCACCCAAACTTTTCAACATAGTTGCTGAGAAGTACTGAAGTCCTGATCCCTACTTGAAAGCCATGGAGTAACTGAAGGAAAGGTAACAGGCAGAGATAGGCCAGACTGAAGAGTTTCAGACCTTTAAACCAAACAAAATGTCTGGTTTATGAGCAGATCTCAAATTTAGATATGAGACTCCACACCAGGAATTTAACTTATTAACCAGTGGACAGACAGAACTGCAGTGTCTGTGGTAGGTATGTTCCAGGCTGTTAAATCTTATAAACATCAATGTGGAGCCCACATTAACTGAGCATGCATACATATTAACAGATAAAGCAGTATTTAAAAAGTCTGATTTGGTTGTTTATGATTATTTTCCAATTATATTTCATTTTATCTCAAGTATTAAATTTATATTCCCTGAGTACAAACTAGTTAAGGAAAAAGTATATTGAGACTTACATAAGGATCTTTGAAGACTTATTTGCATAAAGTAAAGAATTTCTGTGCTGCATAAGCCAATTCCCTGACACAAGCACATATATTTCTGCTTAGCTTAGGCCCCTGGGTTCTCTCTGCAGATGACCAGATGTTGCAAGGGGCCCTAAAATGGTTTCTTCATCAGAACAAAACCCTAACTTGTGAATGGTTTGCTTTTGTCTCTCTCTGTGGATTTAATTGAGACAGCTTCAATTTTGGTTTCCTCGATAAAAGTACTTAGAAAATGTTCAGTGGCCATAGAAGAATGATTTAAAGCTGATTGGTTCTCCATGGAACCCTAACAGCAAGTCACTGGTCTCTTATTCTTCTGGTAACCTAGTCTAACACTTTTTAGTCATCCATTAAGAGAAAAAAAGAAGTTCTACCTAAAAATACCAATCTGATTAAGAAACCCAACATGTGATACAAGCTGCAGCCTCAGGATGAACATGTCTGCATGGTAAATGGAGTGGTTCCAAATTTGAATCAGGCTGTCCACAGCACATGAAAGGGGAGAAGTGCTGATTTCAGTGTCACATTGGCTGTGGCCCTCAGGGACAATTGTTCTCCACACCTTCTTAAGGAATGTTAAGGGTCTTGCTATCCCTCTAGTCTAGTTTGGCCTCCAAGTCTCTCCCTGCCTCATGCTCCCCAGTGGAATTACAGGTAACAGCCATATTCAGCAGATCGTTTCAAACAATAAACTGGTTTGGGCAATGTAGGGTTACACATGGTTATGTGGCTTGCTTTTTGTGAAAGAACTTACCCAAGTCTTTAGTGCTAATGCCCACTGTCCTCTGTAAGGTGCAGAGCAGAACACATGTTTTCCAAAAATTATTCCATGGGATTTCTTTGTTTCAGGAAATACTATTTTAGAACCAAGTGGGGATCCATTCCCAGGGCATAAACAAGGCCCACACCTATAACCTAACAATAATTCCCCCTGGGATCCAAGGGGAGAGCCTGCTCTTAACTCACTGCCTACTACATCCATCGTTGACTGAAATGTGGAAATTTTAAATTTGGAGAGAAATCTTTCCTTCTCTGTTGCCAAGAGCAGCAACAAAAAAAAAAAAAAAACAAAAAAAAACATGCTATGACAAAGTCCTAGCTTCTATTTTGCTAGATGAGTCACTTAATTATCTCTGCAAACCAATTTACTCTATCACCTAGATTCACAAAACAATTATGTTTTAAGATGTTAAAAGAAACAAAATGATGACCTTCAGTTCTCCTGAAATTCAACAGGTAATTGTCAACCTGGGTATTCATAAACACTGGAACAAATAAGAAATAGTAAATCTTTTTTTGCTCTTGAATAGCATCATAACCAATCAAAGAAAATAATTTTGCTATTTGCAAGCTTCTAACATCAAATTCACTAGACTTAAGAGAGCATTCTGGCATCCTTCCTGCCTTCAAACTGTTGTGGATGTTGTTATTAGAGGTAAGGAATCCAATCAGTTCCTTATTTCAAAGTCTTTCATTTATAATTAGGCAAATATTATGAAGTGGTATTCCCCCTTACACACAAAAAGGGATATGTACACATTTGGAGAAGCCAAAATTATGCCACATCCATAAACCATTAGACAAAACAGGACTAAGTATTGCTATTAAAATAACTACTAAGAATTACTGTCTATTGCCACAAGATGGCAATCTTTCAAAGATTAAAAACCTAGGCTACCTTAATTGTACACCACCCACTTTCTCAAACTGGAGAACAAAGGTCTTTTATTTTGGTATTGAGAAGTTGGAGTGATAAGTACTGACCATCATTTTCTAAAAACAAGCAAACAAAAAAACCTACAAAATTATCTGATGTGTTATGATGTAAACTCATGATTCAAAAAGCTATTTAAAGAGAGACAAACTAGTCTTCCACAAACACATGAGAAATTTAGTCTAATGCTATATCATTTGCTCTTCTTGGTAGATAGAAAACAAAACATTTTTGGTGAAGAGAAACCTGTCAAGGCAATGTTGCTTTCATTATCAAGAGCTTAATATTTTCTAGGGTAAAGCAGGTCAATGATTTGTTAATCACAACATAAATACAATAAATGAATAAATACATTATTAGATAAATTATACATAATTTTAAAATACTTTTACTAAAATAAAATATAACCAATTAACTTTATCCTGCTAGATAGTGTTTTATCTTAAATTTAAAAACTTGCACAAAAAAGTTTGGTTCTTTTTGATTGAAAGCACTGATGTGTCAATACATACATGTATATATGTAAACAACACATACACTTATTCTAGGAGACTATACTTTTAAATGATTAAGGCTTCCCTATCCAATCAGATTCAATAGAGAAAGTCACAGCAGATATGCTTTGGAAGTACACACAGGTCCTAGGGACAAAGCACGGTTTTCAACCAAAAGATTAAAAAACAATGAACAAAGACAATGGTTATTAAGGAAGGAGGAGGCATCAATAACAACTTAAACCTAGGTGGATTAGCAAAGATCTCAGAGGGCCATAGCCTCCTGGCCCTCCCAACATACCCCAGGCTCACAGACACGAAACAGAGGGTCAGAGTAGAATTCCTTCAAGGGGCTGTTGGTATTTTGCCTTATTTCATTTAACTGTGTACTATTTTTGCATGATTTTGTCTTGCTTGGTGGTGGATTTAACGAAAGGCCTTGCACAAATGTTAAGAAGCCTGGAGACTGGGCATCTGTTAACAGAAACACAGTCTTCCTGGCTAATATTAGGCAGTATTTGCAGAAACCATTAAAAGAACCTAGTTTCTGGTATTTAGAGGGACAGGGCTTTCAGATTTCTACACTTAAATAATATTTGACTAACACTTATTCTATTAATCTTTTTGTGCAAGAAAGCTGGGTGGCTAGATAGTCTAACACCTTCTGAAACTTAGGAAGCAAACTGAATTTCTATGCACTAAACATGAAGGAAGGAGGTACCACCAAACCTCTCCTAAGTTAGCTGGTTCATCAGTGAAGTGTGCTAGTGAACTCACAAGTATAAACTAGCAAACATCAACATTCATCCATTAAAGGTACTACTACCTACTCGAATTTATCATAGGCACAGTAGAATAATAGTTCTAAAAGTAAACAAAATGACAGACTTTTATGTTTTCGGTAATTCCAATACACTGCGTGTCACCTGGGAATATTCACATCAAATTATATTGCAGAGTATGTAATACCCAAAAGTGAGATAATAATTTAAAGAGTGTATGTGATTTTCACAGTGCAGTAACAGAAAGACAGAAACCAGTGGTAGATTATCAACGAGCTAAAGTAGTGATCAGACTGGCACACATTTCAAAGAAGTCCATGGTGTGACTGCCCAGGCGGGGGGAAGCTGAGGACAACGTGCTTCCCGTCAAAGAGCCAGTGAGAGAACCAGAAAGTGAGTGGTTCTCAGCCGTGGTGGAATCAAAACTTGACCTTGGTCTGTGCAGGCCAGCAGCAGAACAGGAGCGCTGAGGTGTTGAAGAACCAGACCTCTGCTCTACCACCTCATCTGAAAGACCAAACAACAGTAAATATAGCAAGTACACTTGCCCGAGTCTTCCCTGAAGCCGCTGCACTGAGAGAGCCTGGTAAAGACTGTGAAGTCCGTGTGTTGGGAGCAGAGGAGGCACTATCTCGTCCTTCTCACAGTCTTAACACGTTACCAATCACTCATTAACACTTCCACAGCTAGAGCGCCCCTAAGTCCTTCTCAATATAGGACACAGCATTTATACTGAAAGTGAGCATGCTTACATCCTTGAAAATACCTTCCATCCTCGGCAATTTATTTCCTGCTGAAACTGCACATTGAATTTCACTTATGTTTTTGTGAGGTCTACTTTAAACAGTAGAGAATCCACCCACCATGTTTTTGAGATGACTCTAACTCTAAGTCAAATGGTGCCAAGTTCTATTTCTCAGAACTCATCCCTGTTAGTCTTCTTACCATCAATGCTTTTAAAGTCTAAAAGATAGCTCCGATTGTCAACCAGGTAGAGCTGCAAGCTCATTTTCGCGTAAGTGCCAGTCACTGGGTTTTTCCTTCTTACTCGAAGGTGGTAGGCATTCACTACCTGAAACAGGAAATCATGAAAAATTAAACCTACACAGTGTCCCCCATCTTAGCAAAGAACAACAAAAGCAAATATGGGTGAGAGAGAGAGAGAAGGATGTATGGTTGATTCTTCTATGTCACAAGTAATTTAGCATATTTAATCCTACTAACAATACCATGTGTAAAAACTCAGATCCTATAGTCTAGACTTTAACCCAGATACAGATCTGCTCTAGGGTATTAGTAACAATCTTAGTAGCCTTTGCTTCAGTGATTTTGATCACTGAAGGAATAACAGAACTAAAAGTTAGTGGTTTACATCACGTAGAGTCATAAAATCCCAATAGCAAGATATCCTGAGGATGGTATAAAACTGCAGTTCAGATAAAGAGATTCTGGGTTTTCAGAACATGTTAGATTAGTTTCTAGATTCTTTCCATTAGATAGTTTAAAATGTTGGCATCTCTCTCTCATATATATATACATATACTATATATATGTGTGTGTGTATACATATATACATATATATATACATATATATATATATATATGCTTATAAAGTGAGACTGTGTCTCTCACTGGATCTTGAGCTTATAGAAATTTTCCTTCCTCAAGTTCCTGGAGTGCTAGTGTTACAAGCATGAGACACTATGCCCAGCAAAATTCTGTTTAACTAAATGAACTTGCTTGAGAAAAAAAAAAACTAGCCTTAGTTTAAGGAAATGTTATTTATTTAATCATGTAAAAGTAGAAAGCAAATTAAAATGGATCAAAATGTGTTGAATATTTATATGATCAATTTGATCTTTTCCCTTTAATGACTCACACAACAATTCATAGATCTGGAAATGGACAAGTAGGGAAGAGCTGGGGCACAGAAGTGTGAGAATAGAGTTGGGAGAATAACAAGAATTCATTGTATACATGTATGAAATTGTTAAAGAACTGTCTGAATTTTAAGAAGTTAAAATAGGCCAGTTATAGGGGCACACGGCTTTAATATCAGCACTTAGAAGCAGAGGCAGGTGGATGAGTTCCAGGACAACCTGGTCTACATAATGAGTTCCAATCTGACCACAGCTACATAGAGAAACCCTGTCTTGCTTGTAAAAAACAAACAGATAAAATAAAAAGTATATAAATGTTCATCACTCTCAAGAAAGAATAACAGTTAAAGGGATATCTTAAATTTTGAAAATATCCCCATTTACATTCAAAAAGTTGAACTGTAACAAAATATTAAATTGAAAAAGTAAAATGTGTGCTGATATCAAAAAAACACGCCATAATCAAATGTGATAGTTGAAAGTGAACAGTGTTGGCACTGTTAAAGACTATGGGGTCCTTTGAAGTTGTGCTGAATGCATTTTACACCACAACATGGCCATGATTCTATGGGGAGAAGAGACAGAAGGCTACAGCTTTGAAATGATAAGATCAGGTATCAAGTTGACAGAGGTAGACTTGGGCCAGTTAATACTGCCAACGTGACAAGGTCTACAACAACCTAGAAGACAAACCGCTGGGTATATGTGAGAGATTTTCTATTTTTTATTAAAAAAAGTAAAAATAAAGAAAGTAGCTGGGTGTAGTGGCACATGCCTTTAATCCCAGCACTCCAGAGGCAGAGGCAGGTAGATTTCCAGAGAAAGCCTGTCTCAGAGAAAAAAATAAAAGTAAAAGAAATAGAGTAATAATAATAGATAAATAAGTCATGTAAAGATGGAAAATATACAGAGAGTCTGGATACTGTATGCTATTGTGTTTTTCAGTTTTTTGATTGCTAAAGAAGGAACAACTGCTAAAGTACACTTGACTATAAATGCTGCTGAATTAATTCAACTTATATCTTTTAAAAATGCCTTGATTTCAAAATTTAAGTATAACGATATGTTACTTTGGAGAAGATATTTTATTTCTGTTTTCACAGAAAATGGAAAGCTGTGGATTACTTCCAGGCTTCTGTGGTTTGTTGAACCAAGACCCCCGGAAGTGGTGGGCCAGGTGTTCCAACAATTAAGACAGCTAAGATGATGCAGCCTTACAGATCACGAAAATAAGGACTTATACAGGTTTCTGTGTTTTGTCATGATCCCCATGGTATGGACAGTGACCCCTTCCAGCAGAAAGCAGCTTGGAATGAGCAACGTCCAAATTCCCAAATATTGTTTATAAATCTTTGTTTTCAATTGAATGGGGTTGCTTATAATTGGTTAATGATCATAAGTAATTTCTTTTTAAAGGTAAAAGGGAATATGCTATGGAAATGAATACTTTGTAACGGTATAGTTTTTCATTTATTGATACAAATTCATGGTCAATTTTGTGATATGTATATTTCTCTTCTTGATTAAATATTGTGCTTATAATGATCTTTTAAAACATAATGCACAATTAAATACAGACTATAGATAGTTACTTATAATAGTCAAAACTTATGGTTAGGTAAGTTAGGTTTTCTAGATATATAGAGATATATTTGAGATAGATAGTCTTCAAAACATTCAAAGACCTTCAAAAAATGGCATTTAAAATGGTTTAAGGTTTTTCTTGACAATGAGAAATGTCTGCTCCTGCCAGCACCAATTACATCTAAGAGGAAGATGGGCATCGAAGAAACTCCTTATGGAGTTTTCTTTCAACATGGCAATATTAGCCATTTGGGCAAGAAATTGCTCTTGCCTGTACTGCTTGACTGTTACTGTATAAACTGGACATGCAGGACCCATAGGAGTCCTACAGAGTTCCTGCTTCATGGAAGAGTCTGCCAGACTTTCTGCAGGACACAAGAAATAACTAACGGACTGCCAATGCAGATGGACACCTTGAAATTTCCTGCTTTGATGAGAAGTCTTCCAGACACATTGTGGCCTATGGGCTGAAGATGGATGCCCTAACATTACAGAGGAACTTTGGGTGACTGTCCAGGTAGCAAGATGTCTCTGTCAATTCTAGTGTTTATATATCCTTCTGTGGTCTTTGATGGAGTTGAAGACAGGTAGTTGAAGTTATAGTTTTCCTTAGTTATGATAAAAGATAAGTTACATATAAGCCTTAAGACTCACAAAGATAGGATAGATGGTATTTTCTTTAGATCTTACTAAATGCTAATGGACTAAATATTATAACTATAGTTCTTACTTGATAACTACTCTGTTATTTATATAGTTTGACTATGTTAAAGTTAAAACCTTTCTTTTTATTTTAGACAGAAAAGAGGAGATGTTGGGAGATGTCATTCTGTAAAAATGTGTCTGATTGGTTTGAATGAAGCACTGTTGGCCAACAGGAAAGCAAGATAGGTGGGACTAGGAGTCGAGGAGGATTCTGGGAAAGAGAAACACAGAGAGACACGATGTAGGCACCAGAGGAGTAAGAGGTCCAGACCCTTTTCTCCCGTAAGAGAAATACTTAGATTAACAATTATGGGTTAAATACTTAAATCAGAGCTAGCCAGTAAGAAACCAAGCAAACGGCCAACAGCTTTATAATTAATATAGTGTCCTGTGTGTTATTTGGGGGTTCAGAAGCACAGCAGGGCCCAGGTGACTGGCAAAGAAAACTATACTCTACAGGGGTAAGCTGAAGTGGGAAGGCCTACACTAAATGTGGGCATCACCAGTTCATATGCTGGAGTTCTGGACTGAGGAAAAAGAAGAAAGTGAGTGAGCACCATCATTCATTGCTTTCTGCTTCCTGACTGTGAACATGTGACCGATCATGTGCCTCACACGCATAGATTAGATCCTCAGGCTGTGAGTCTGAATTAACCCTTCCTTCCTCCCTTAAGTTCCTTGTGTCAGGGATTTTGTCACAGCAGTGAGGAAAGTAACATACCAAGAATGAAAAGTCCCAGATAAGAGAATTTCTCAACTTGAAGAAAAGTATTTGTTGATAAAATGAACATGCTTGACAGCATAATATATATATTGAACACTAGCTGCCATAGCCATCAACCATTCATACCAAAAAAAAAGCATGAAAAGAAAGCAAGCTTCTTGAAAAAAAGTGAGAATTGCCTTTCAAGATTTCAGATTTCAGAAATGTTGCTATGAACCATGTTGAAACAGATGGGCTGTTTTCTCAGATAATTTCAATTCTTAGCCAAGAATGCTGCTATTCTGTAACTAAAAATATGTTCCCAGTATCAACAGTTCTTTATCCTTTATTTATTATGCTTTGGCACTGTGTGTGATATAGTTTAAAAGAATGAGCCATGTCAACCAAAAACATGAAGCCCACTACAATTATTTCTAAATCAAAAACAAGTTTATATGGACTTAGAAAACTTACTATATAAGAAAAATCGTTTCTACAAACAGCCTTAGTACATTGTGGTTTCCTACCTTCCATTCAAAATCCAGCTGCTTCATAGCTCGGTACACTTCGGCCATAATGTCATACGGTTTGCTCTGGCTTCGGATTCCAAGATGCCACTTGGCTTTTTTCACAGCTAAAGATTTGGGCTTAGTTGTGTTCAGTGCATCCAATGGACACCGTGCTTTGGGACTGTCTGCTATAAGAGGTGGCATCCTTTCAGGATGTGGTTTCAGGCCTGGCGGAATATGCATGGCACTATCATCCATAAAAGAACCAGTTGGAGGACTAGAGGCGAGGTAGAACTCACTGGCTTGGTTCATTATTCTCCGATTGTCAATGATAAGATGATATGCTACTGCAAGCTGGTCTTGAGGGTCACCACTATATAAACTGTTCATTACTTCTGATTCTGTACACTCAAACTTGTCACATACTTCTTTCACAGCTTCATCATCAATGACGTTAGCATCATAGGAGGGGTCTTCAGGAAATAGGTAACTGGGCAAATCCTGTTTAAACCATTCATGTTCTCTAGGAAAAACACCATGCACACTATTATAAGAACATGCTTTAGTCAGTCCCAAATAATTCAGACATGGGGCAATACAACATAAAGACTCCAAAATACTGGTCTCTAGTTCCAGCTCTGCAGCTATTGGCTAAGTGACTCTGGAGCCAGTTAAATAATCTGTATCCTTAAAAAAAATACAGATATTCAGACTTGAGATATTTCCTTGAAAATGAACAAAGTGGGTCTGTAACATCAAGGAAAACAACTAGCAATATATGAGTTCCCAAGCAAAATTCCAGATGGTGTATAGAAATATGTACCTATCCCCTGGGGTTTGATGGTTTCTCAAGATGTTCTGGTAAAGCTAGTATTGATAATAATGAATATGATTTTTGATAGCATAAAATGAAATTTGGGAAATATGTATATTTCAATAATGCATTATTTCCCAATGGTATGACAGAATTATACATGCATAAGAGAGTCACTTAAAATTTAAAACATATTATATCATTATAATTTGGCAAAATACAAAAGTTTTGATATTGCAAACTGTAAGCTAGTATGCTAAGCTTTGTCTTAGTATCAAAGAATATCACTATTATCTGAGTGACTTTTAAAAACTCCTTTATTTTTCAGCCACTTACCTGAGTTCAGAAACTTCAGCTAACATAAAATATTGCAAGATTAGCAGGGTGGTGGTGGTGTAGCCTTTAATCCCAGAACTTGGGAGGCAAAGGCAGGTGGATATCTGTGAGTTCAAGGCCAGCATGGTCTACAAAGCGAGTTCCAGGACAGCCAGGGCTGTAACACAGAGAAACCCTATCTCGAAAAACAAACAAACAAACAAAGGTGCAAGATTAAATGAAGAAGTAGACTGAGATTCTAGCTATATTTGATTAAACTAGACACTGAGGACATTCATAAAAGTGTAAGATGATGCTTTTTACAATGTTTTGGGGACCCTTTCATAACAGAGATTACTATAAAGCTTGGTGGTGTACACTTATTATCCTAGTTATTCAGAAGGCGATTCAGGAGAATCTCAAGTTTAAGGTTTACTTTAGTTACAAAAGAAATTACAAGCCATCCTGTGTAATTTAGTGAGACCTTATCTCAAATAAAATATAAAAGGAGATAGGGGAGGGGATCAGAGATGTAAATTGATGGTAGAATGTTTGCCTAGGAAGTTCAAGTCTCTAGGTCAAATCCTTAGGTTGCTTATTCAATTAAATGAACAGATTTATAAGTAAATTAAGTACTAACTTTAATTATTATATGCTAATTATTGGTATATTATTCACTAAAAAATAATTTCAGTCCTCAATAACGAGAGTGTAAAGAAATATTAAAACTAAACTTTTTGCAAACTGCTCTTGTAATCTCATTTCCTCTAACTTTCTGTCCCTTTGTGTCTGATGTTATGACTACTATCAAATAGTCCTCAGAGATTATATACCAGATGGATATAAACAGATATTAAGACATAATATCTGTTACAAATACAGAAATATTCTGACAAAACCTGGGAGTAGAAAACAGTAAACGAGAGCCTGTGATTCAGAATGGGAGGCCGAGCAGCGAAGCCACTCAAGTTAACATTTAAGCACACACCAGAACAATCAGAAGTCAGCTAAACAATATGTAGAAAACAGATATTGAAGCAAAAGAAATAATATCTGTAAAGTCTTCAGACAATAAAGGGTTTTGTCATGTTACAAGAACTGCTGTGGTTCAATATCATCCTGAGACACAGGATGGAGTGGTAAAAGAAATCAGGTATTGTGGAGAGTTGTAGCAAAAGCATTCAAAATAACGTTTTATAACTATAGGAATTTCTCAAAGTTTGTAATAATCTGGGGGGGGACTTTAAACACTGGCTGAACTTCAGTAGAAGTTCTTTGTAAGCTGCCCTTTGTAAGCATCTCTAATTTTCAGCTTCACAGAAGCCTTAAACCTACAAGTCTCACAATCACATGGCTGAGAAAAATCACAGCAGTTACAAGGATGGAGAAACAGTACTGGAGCTCCCTACAGTTCCAACCCACAAGAACAGCCACTCTTTGACATCTAGTGCGCTGGTTGTTTTTTTGTCAAGGTGACACAAATTTAGACATATGTGAGAAGAACAAATGTCATTTCAGAAAATGTCTGCCTAAGACTGGCCTGCAGGCAAGTCTGTGAGCATTTTCTTGACTAATGGCTGATGTGAGAGGGCCCAGCCCATCGTGAGTGGTGCCATACTGGGCAGGTGGTCCTAAGTTACATATGAAACCAGGCTGAGTAAGTCATGAGGAGCAAGCCAGTAAGCAACACTCCTCCAAGGCTTCCTGCCTTACTCGAGTTCCTTCTCTGATTTCCCTCAGTGATGGACAGTCACCTGGAAGTACAGAATGAAATTAGTCCTTTCCTCCCCAAGTTGGTTTTGGTCACAGTGTTTTAGTGCTGCAGTAGAAAGTCTAAGACATCAAGCAATTTCCTGTTTATTTCCATGCACAGCTTTGTTTCTGATGTGACTTAGAGCTCACTTACGGAAAGCCACCAGACTATTTGTTTAACAAACAAAACCAGTGGCCACTGTTTACTATTATAGGTGTGTGAAGCAGTAATGAGAGTTGTGTAACAAGAACCTCACCTATAAAGTTAGGTTGGGAAATAAAGAGTACAAAAGGTCTGAGAAGTTTTCCTTTATTCCTGAGACTCACAAAGGTCAGAAGTGTGCCCAAGAAAAAACTGACAAGACCCTAATTTGTCATCACCGGGAGGCTTTGAGACTCTGCACAAGAAGGAAATGAAAGCAAAGGCAGAGCTATCAGCTGCCTATTAAAGACGTAGAGATACAAACACAGCACCACTTTCAAAGGCGGGGAGACTTACTAAATCATGGAATCTTTAAAAAGTTCTGTTTCTGCAGCTCATCACTTAGCTAGCCAAGGAGAATCTTTGGTTGTAATATGTAACAAGAGTATAGACTTTAATGAATTAGTCAAAAAAAAATCACTAATCAAATAGGAATATCAACAACGCTAAATGACAATTATAAACTCTTGGTACATACATGGGAAATGAAAACAGGCTATTAATATAAAAGTAAATGTTCATAACAAAATTACTTACCAAAGTCACAAGACAGAACTATCCCAATGTCGTCAAGGGAAGAATAAACAAAACTATAGTATATATCCACAACAGAGTGTTTTTTAAGCTAAAAATAATGGAGTATTAAAACTATATCTGGAGATTGTAAGAACAAGAGATCAGGGAATTCTCTGTGAGATTGTCCTTCCTAGTAATATGAGAAGCTACACCCATAAGTCTCAGTCTCACCAACATGGCTGCCTAAACATGAGTTGAACAAGGACAACATCGATGGGCATGCCCAAGTTACAGGGAAAAGCCCATAGGTCTCAATCATACACAAAGAAGAACTTTTCTTCTGGTAAGTGAGTAAAACTGAGAGCTGAAGAGGTGGTTCACCCCAGGGATGAACACACCAACTGGCCGTACACTGCCAAACAGCCATCACTGAAAACAATAACAATTAGTGAAAAAGAGACCATGAAGTTGAAGGAGATTTGGGAGGGTTATATAGGAGGGCTTAAAGGGAGAAAAGGGAAGGGTAATCACAGATTGAGTCATGTAAAATTTAACAATCTTAAAAAAAAAAAAAGAACTAGAGAGATGGCTCAGCAGTTAAGAGTACTAGCTGCTCCTTCAGAGAACCATGGTTCAATTCTCAGCACCAATACATCCATCATTTAAAAAAAGAGACAGAGAAAGGTAAATAAATAAGTAAGTAAATAAACAATGAAATACTGGTAAATACTACACATGTAAGTACCTTGAAAGCATGCTAAATCAAAGACACTAGAGATGAAAGATCATGTGCTATGTAAAATGTTCAGCAAAGACAGAAAGTAGATTATTGGCTGCCAGACACAGGAGACACAAAGAAACTCAGAACAACTAACGGGTATGGAGTTCTGGAATTAGATCATGGTAAAAATGGGCAATTCTCATTTTATAACAATAAACTTAGGTTGTATCATGACTTTTGCTTCTATCTGAATATAAACTACTTTAAATTAGGGACTGAATTTCAGACTAAAATGCACCATGTGTGACATATGGAATGGAAGTGGAAAAATGAGAACTGTACCAGCTACCTATGAAAAAGTCAGTACAGTAAAATAGGTTAAATGTATGGCATAATGATTGATGTTTATCAACTGTCAGTTTTAATATTTATGCCTATTGAAGTACAATTTTATCAAATTAAGAATTCTCATATTGAAATATTGAACATAAACTTAAAATAGTGAGAACTATAAATCCAAGTTATCACTTTAAATATAGAAATGTTGCCATTATTTTGTCCTTTTGTGTGAGCCTTAGCCTGTTATGGCTAAGCCATCTCACCAGCCCAGAATATCACTATTTTACAGCACTTCCTATGGGTCAATTAACTCAATTTTAATAGATTTATTTACATTTTTCTTCAAATGTCCATAAATATATGAACAATTACTTTGAAATATGAGAGTTAATTCTTTTACTATTCTAAATTCACAAGTACTTATATAAGCAAGTACAAGTATATTAGCATGTCTAATTTTTCTTTTGGGGAAAACCCAATTAGAACTATTTATTCTAAAGAATTGTGAACAGAGGGGTTTTTCCCCCTGTTGGTTCATTTCCATAACTAAATCCAGCAGCAATTTTATAGCTCTACATTCTTTTGAATGAGGCCCAGAACAGGCCAGGGAAAGAAAATGACCTTGTGGTTTGAGCATGGAATGCCCCCCACAAATGCCTCTGGTAGGACATGTGGCTCCCAGCTAGTGTTGCTGCTTATGAAGGATATGGAATCTATTAGGAGGTAGAGCTTCACTTGACAAAGTGGGTCACCAGGGGTGGACTTCAGGGACCAGCACATTTCTATCCACTCTGCTTCCTGAGTGCAGACACAATGTGATCAGTCACCCCAGGCTCCTGTGGCCATGTCTTCCCCACTATAATGGACTACATCTCCCCAAGCACTGAAACAAATTAAGTCCTTCCTGTAGGCTTCAACGGATGCTGTAACGATAAGCGACACTTACTGGAAGTAAAACTAAGTATTTATTGTAGAAATTACTCACAAGATACCAAACAAGTAACCCAGATGAGACAAGCAGTTTTCCCGCTCGAACCAGAAGCCGGACTCCGGGAAAAGAGAGCGAGACTTCCTGTGTGCTGTCTTTTATACCTTCCCCCGTAACGCCCCCTAGCCATGCCCAAAAGTGGGCCTGGCTAGTGACGTAGTTCTGCCTACGTATGTATACGTCTTTACGTCCAGCCGTATATGTCTTTAGTCCTGCCTAAAATGGGTGTGGTTAGCGGTGTGGTAAACCGCCCTTTTATTACCTCATCTGTATGCGCCTCTAATAAGTCACATGTTTAATGGCGGCATCAGACTTCCTCCTACACCTTCCTCCCTTAAGTTCCTTCTTGCCAGGTATTTAGTCACATCAAGGAGGAGAGTGATGCCTAAATGTAAAAAGAATCTACTCCTTGCTTAAGAGGGCCAAGCAGAAACCACTTCCTCAGCTACCCTCTGAATGTTCCGCAGAATGTACATGTCAAAACACTTATTCTGGCTTTAGGGAAAAGGAAAAAAAACTTCTAAAAGATATCAAAAGAATGTACTTCTAAACAACCTTTGAAACCCTCTAAAACATCCATAACATGTAGAAGGTATTACATCACTCCTGTAGAAACATACATAACACAAGGAAGCATTACATCATTTCTGCTAGTATGCTACTTAATTCCTCAACAATCAAGGGATTCTCCACAATCAATCCACTAGTGGCTACTGGATCAAAAACCTAACAAAACTTACTTTCTTAAATATACTAAGTAAGGTAACCATTAAGCAAAGCTCAGAAAGACAAATGTGCCAATGTTTTCTCCTACTAACATTCTAGCATATAAATGATAATGTGGTTAGAGGCCAGGAAACTAGAAAGGGCCACGAGACAGGAGGAAATATAAGGTTTCAATAGAGAAAGGTGGGAAACCAAACACATGAAACATAAGAGAAGCAAGGGGAATTCAGGGAGCAAAAGGGTACAGTGGGAAATGGAAGGCAAGGAGAACGTGGATAGAGTGCGGGGGGCGCTTTGCTGCTTATGCTAATAAGCATAAAGGCAATGCAAAGTATCTGAAGGACAAGTGACATAATCAGGTTTGTATAATACATTCAAATATTAAAACTTCTTTTTCTTTGAAACAGGGTCTCACGTTGTAGCCCATACTGGCCTTGAACTTGAGATCCTTTTGCCTCATCCTCCTGGGTAGGTGCTGGGATTACAAGCACATACCACACACTTGGCCTTAAAATTCTCATCAAAATAAAGTGTCATAAAGCATAGATGAAGTAAATATTCTAGTATCACTATTACTATAATGAGAAAAATATACAAAACAGCAAAAACCATAATCACCGGATGTCTTTGATAGTTGCCCGCTTCAAGGGGTCCACCTGTAGCATGTGCATCAGTAGAGTGGCAACAGAACGGTTGAGATATTCTGGGATATAAAACACACCCCCGCGGATCTTCTTAAAAAGTGTAGGCACATGCTCGTCATCAAAGGGGAGGGTGCCACACAGAAGGGCATACAGGATAACGCCACAGCTCCAGATATCAACCTCCGGACCAGCATACAGCCTGAGACAGGATAACACAAGCCTGAGTGTTGGTGCCATTTCCCCTCATTGTTAGTGTCCTGCTTCTATACATGATAAATGCTAAACCAACTTGATATATATTGCTATTTAATGTCATCAATGAAAGGTGGCAATTCCCAAACATCAATAATTACATATCAAAAATAACCAGCCTAATTAGCTACACAAATTTGCCAGAAGATTGTTATTTTTATTTGTTAAAAATATTTATAAGGTCTAATTAAAGTTTATTATAATTTCAGGCCAGTCATGATGGCACATGCCTTTAATCCCAGCACTTGGGAGGCAGAGGCAAACAGATCTCTGAGTTCAAGGTCAGCCTGGTCTAGAGAGCCCCAAGCCATTCAGGATAAGACTCTATCTCAAAAACAAGCCAACTATCAACACCACCAAAAATTACACTGTGTTTTATTTCTTTAAAGAAACATCAAAGTAGATAACTACAAACTAGAAAAAAATAATAAATCAGAACTATTTCAAGAAAGAAAATGCATATATAACAAAAATTTTGCTCCTAGCCTACACTTTAAACAAAATTTCAGACATTGAAATACTTAACTGGTTCAATAGTGGCAGCACTTAACTTGTATAGCATTATCTTTTCTTAAAGATTATTTTTCTTTAAATTTTATTGTTATGTGTATGAGTGTTTTGACTGCATGTGTCTGTGTAGTAGTACTTGTGTATCTGATACTTAGAGAGGCCATAGGGGGCAGCTGATTCTCTGAAATGGGAGTTACGAGCAGTTGTAAGCCAAAATGTGAGTCCTCGAAATCCAGCATGGGTCCTCTGAAGAGCAGCAAGCGCTCTTAAGCACTGGGCCATCTGTTCAGCCCCTGTATAACAGAGTTCCTACTACTTTCTTTCAAAATCATTTGCTAACTTATTGTACTTAGACAATTTGGCTCTAGATAACCTATGTCTGCACCACACACCTCTCACTATTTAAGTCTTACCTTTCTACTATAATACCAATCCCCAGCAGCACATTACCAAAGCAAACTTGGGTCTGAGGTAACAAATGTCTTAAGTTCCCGTGGAAAGAACACAATCTGCTTATGTAGAGTGCTGCCTCTAATTTACATCATTGGCTGTATCACCCAGCACTCATCAGCTGAAATTGAGTAAAGGTTTTAAGGAGATCTGGCCCTGACGTGGGACTCTCATAAAGAAGGATAGTGCCTGATAAAAGACTACCCCTGAGAGATCCCATTCCCTCTGACTACACATGCTTCAAGTTAGAGGACAGTGCACTGTGAGGAATAGGCTCTCCACACACCAGATCTTTGTGGAGCTCCAGCGTTATGGGACGGACTGCTGTTGTTTATAAGGTGTGATGTATGGTGCTCTCCAGCTCATTTCTGCTAACTTGTAAAACCAGACACTAGCCACTGTGCAATGACTTGACTACATCTCTGCAGCCTCCCTAAGTATTTTATACTGTACCAATGAGCTAATTATACATGAGGAACTTGAAAGTCACTGTCTAGTTTACATGTGAAATCATATTGCTACCCAAATTTCATTCTTCCAAAATAAAAACAACTGCCTTCAGACTCTTACATATGCAAAAATACTATTAAATAACTGTTAAGTAAAGACACCGGCTTAAATTTTAGCAAATTCTTACTGCTGCTTGACATTTTCTATAATAGAATATAGACATGTTACAGTCATTGCCAATGAACAAAATGAATAAACACATTACAATGCCTACACGGAGTTTCAAAAAAAATTACTATTCTGCCTATAAAAAAATAAATGAACAATTTGTTTTTATACTATGTTAAAAGTCTTCTTCTAAAGAATATAGAGTTAAATGTTATTAGGATGAATGCAAGGTCACAAAAGCTTACTCATCACTAATAAACTATTACCTTCCTGAGATGACCTCAGGGGCTGCATAATTTGGAGAACCACAGCTAGTTCGTAGAAATTCACCATCTGACATCATATTAGATAATCCTGAAAAATAAATGCAATTTCTCAGATGCTGAATACTGAAAATACAGGTAAAAACTATGATGAAAACTCTCAACTATTTCATGCTTCAGAAACCATATTTTTTATTTTAAAGAGTAATGGTGACAACATAGCTCAGTGGGCCAAGATACTTGAGCAAAGTTGACAACCTGCGTTCAATTCCTGGAGCACACAAGGAGGCAGGAGAGAACTGTCTCCCGAGTCTTGTCCTTTAGAGTACACACGAGTGCGCGCACACACACACACACACACACACACACACACACACACACACACACATTTTTAAAGTAACAGAAAGCACTGTAAGACTAGAAAGAGATTATTTTAGGAAACTTATCATCATCACACAGAAAGCAAAAGAACCATATCTATAAGTGGAATGAACGTCACTCACTACTTGAAAAATTTGACTCCTCACAAAAAAAGGTTATTTGAAATTATATTTGTTTGCAAAATGTAAGTACCAAATATTATCTACTTCTGTATATGAAGAAATTAAACAGCTGCTAATTAAAACAAACAAAAAAACAGTGCTTTTAAAAGTCTTTCTTAAAAGGTTATAACTGGGCACCACATCTTTAGATCCAGCACTCGGGAGGCAGAGGCAGGCAGATCTCTGGGAGTTTGAGGCCACCTGGTCTAGAGAGCAAGTTCCAGACCAGTCAGGGTGACACAGTGAATCTTTTTTTTTAATTGTAATTAGGCAGCAGAACTGCTTCAGTTGATAAGCAGGCTGCTTCTGTGGAGTGAGACTTGTTTATGTCCATCAGGGAAAGCATCTCACTGCTGTTCAGGTGGGGCTGAGCACAGGCAAACAGCAGGGCCTCCTGCTTCAACTTCCTGGGAAAGGTTTATAATCTAGAGCTCTGATCAACATAGTAGACATAATCTACTGAATCAAACTGCAGCTGAACCCTTACTAGAAGAGTAAATGGAATGAGTGAAGCTACTTTAAAAGCAGGTACAAAGCAAATAACCTATAACCTGCAACACTGATTTTGTATCTCCCATTTGCCTCTCCCTAGGGTTACATCATAATCTTTTCCTTGGACATCCGCTATTGCCTTTCTGGGTCTGTTTAGTGTATGGAATATAAAAACACACATTGTCTTTCACCCAGGACCAAAGTCCCGTTCTCTCATAGATTATTAGACTTAGAAGCCTTTCCATCATTGGTTCTGAGGGAGCAAAAGACTTTACAGCTGGATACAAATTTTCACACACTTGTTTATGTTCATTTACCAGGGAATGCATCCACTATAACAACAAAATTTTCAAAGAAGTTTGGGACTCCTTTCTAACCCCAGCTTATCCCCTCAAACAAACAAACAAACAAAAAACAAAAACCCAAAAAACAAACCAGCTATCATTTCCTTAGGAGGAAAGGAATACTGTGTGGATCTGTCTTGACATGGCCTCGTAACATATTCTAGAAACCTCAGCAGTTTTTATGTGGATTTGAATAAACGGAATAATTAATCCGTTTTCATGTCACAGGATTTGTGCGGGTGGAATGGAAAGTTCTTAGCTCTGTAAGAGTGTTACTGGACCATTGGAAAGATACTGCATAGCTCTGAGCAACCGTGGAGCAGCATACCAAAGTCAGCTATCTTAGCGTTCATCTGAGCATCCAGCAGTACGTTCTCTGGCTTCAGGTCCCGGTGAACCACCATGTGCCTGTGACAGTAATCCACAGCAGACAGAATCTGCTGAAAGAGTCGCCTAGCTTCCACCTCTTCAACCTAGCATGCAAAAGAAAAAACAGAAACTGCATCAAGACTATCTAGGACATCTATTTATTATGCATTTCAGTTTCATAACCAGTCTAAATATAACTTAGCAGGCTAATTTAGGATTGGCTAATTAGAAATTCTGCAAGTCAGACAAAGCAAACCAGCCAAAACTTTGTCAGAGCACAAAATATAATTTGATAGGTTTTGCTTTGCTGAATGACAATGTTTAATTTTCAAAAATAGTAAATGTGCACAGTGTTTTAAGGAATCAATAAGACCAACTAAAACAGAACTTATATGAAAACTCTAAGAAAATAATTGAAGCCTCAAACCAATTATATACAGAACAGACTGTGAAAAGCACAAGAATTTTTTGGCCATTAAGTGGGATACAGTTCCCAAATCTGTATCCTAAAAGGCATGATTCTGAATAAAGAAAATATGACCTGTATATGCAGTTGACATTATTACAGAAACAATGTAAAGCACTGAAAATATCTTTGTGGTTGGTTACTTCCAATGCTTTCCACGTTCTTAGTTTGGGGGTGGGGGCTGTTACTAGATGGTTTATCACTCACCCGCCCATGTTTACAGATGTAGTCGAATAATTCACCTCCAGACACATATTCCATTACCATGAAAAAGTCTGTTGGAGTGCTGATCACCTGGTATCTTTTTCATAAATAAAAAAGGGGGTTAATGCAAAATGGTGCTTCCACAATAATCAATCTCATCTGTTATTCTTGCTACAATTTCACATTCCGATATTGCATAATACTGTAGGAGGGCAACAGATTTACAATGTTAGCAAACTAATCCAAGCATCATATGCATGGAAGAACATTACAAAACTTCCTGAGACTCAGACTTCCCTTCAGATTCTCGCTTTTTCAGATTTCTGCTATCTTTGAAATCCTCACAAACTATACTAGAACACTGTATACAAAATAAACACATAAAAATTGTCTGTAGAAATATTTCTTTTTTAGGATTTTCTTTCCCTTGAGATAGATGCTCATCACATAGAATCCAGGCTTGCCTGAAACTCATAATTCCCCACCTTGGCTCCCACATTCTGGAATTACAGGTGTCTACCACCATACCTAGCTTGGAAAAATACTTCTAATGGTAACTTTAGTCTTCAAAGACACAAATGGCAGGGTATCCCATTTTGTGTAAACCAAATGACTATAACAGAAATAAAGTTGAGACTATTTCACATGAACTATGGAAAGGTAATTTTATTTAGGAACTCTGACAGAAAAGGTTTGATGAAGGCTTTTTGACAGGCATCAAAGTGATCAGGCAAATTGAATAGAGTAGGTAGAAGCATCTACTGTTATCAACTCATTTTTCTGATATGATTTATTGTTACCAAACACATTTGTGATTATCCATTCTGGATTAGGCATGAATGAATAAAATGAAACCCAATCTTAGCTGCTGATGCTTTGAAATACATTACGTCTTCATAGGATGCTGCTGGGTTGAATTATCTTATGAAGCCTCTAACTTCACAGAATATGCTATCACACATCAAAGGCCAAATGATAGCAATAAAAAATGCAGCTACCATGACTGAGCACTCACTATGTGCCAGGCATAATCAATCAAATAAGGAATCTTAGTACTTATGGAATACCTCCTTGTATTGCTCCTGTGTGAAACTAGAAGTTGGATCATCTATTGAAAGAACTTGCAGTCTAGCTGTAGTTTAGGCATTGAATAAAGATTATCTTTAAACACATATCTGAGCTTTGGGGTCAGAAGTTTTGGGGTTTTTTTAAAAGATTGTTCTATAAATTTATTATTCATTATGTATGCATTGTTCTGGCATGCGGATGGTCGTAAGCCACCATATGGGCACTGGGAATCAAACTCATGAGAGCAGCCACTGCTCTTAACCTCTGAGCCATCTCTCCAGCCCCTTTTTAGGATTTTTTTTAATGTTTTTATGTGCATTGGTGTTTTGCCATGGAACTGGAGTTAGAGACAGTTGTGAGCTGCCATGTGAGTACTTGGAATAGAGCCCAAGTCCTCTGAAAGAACAGTCAGTGCTCTTAACCGCTGTGCCATCTCTCCAACCCCTGCCAGAAGTTTTCTATCTCTCTTAAGGTTCCAAATTAATTAGGCCCCATTACCTCTGTTATTTCTCAAATAATGATCCCTATAACGGCAGCCCCTCTACTTTTCATTAATCATGCTCTACTTTCCCCTACTATAGCTTCTTTATACAGGCTATTTCTACCGACAGGTATAACTCTCTTGGAGGTACATCCTTTAGCACCTCCCTTTTACTTATCCTTAAGAACTTAGCTTACAGGCCACCTTCCCAGTGTAAAAGAGGCAATTTGCTTGCACAGACATATTTACCTTGGCTTTCCAACACATACCTCTCAGTTTATAATTACATGTTTCATAATGATGGTAATTTGATCAATGAGTTTGCATCCGGTAAAGTACTTACAACAAACTATGTAAATTAATGTATAAATCACCACTTTAAAAAATATAAATAGCTTGGATCAATATCAGAACAACCTGAAAGTTTTTTTTAAACTGGCAAAAGTTCAACCAATAGGATTTTAGTTAACAAAGAGAAACAATTTTTGGAAAAAGAAGAGTCCTAAGAAAACAACTTCATATTAGAGAGTTGGTAGGAAAGGGAAATTCCTGGATTATTAAAAGGTAACTTCTAGTAATTATATGAAAATATTACAAGAAATATGAGATGAAAAATAATGTGCTTTAGGAAATTTTTTAGCTTTTTATTTAAATTAGAAACATGCATGCTTCAAATATCAATCCCAGCTCCCCCCTTATCCCTCCACCAGCCCCACCCCCAACCCCCCACCCTCTCACCCTCCCACCCCCAGCTCAATCCCCACATCATTCCCCAGGGAGAGTGAGGCCCTCCTTGGGGGAATCTCCAGAGTCTGTCATTTCATTCAGGGTAGGACCTAGGCCCTTCCCTATGTGTCCAGGCTGAGAGAGCATCCCTCCATGTGGAATGGGCTCCCAAAGTTCATTTGTATGCCATAGTGAACACTGATCTACTACCCAAGGCCTGAGAGATTTCTGAGGCCTCCTGACTGACACTACATTCATGGAGTCTGGATCAGTCCCCTGTTGGCCTCTTAGCCATCAGTCTGGAAGGGTTCAAGAGTTCCCCCTTGTCCAGTCAGCTGTCTTTGTGGTTTTCACCAGCACAGTCTTGACCCCATTGCTCCTCACTCCTCACTCCTCCATCTCTGGGTTCCAGAAGGTTAGTTCAGTGTTTAGCTGTGAGTATCTGTCTCTGCTTCCATCAGTCACTGGATGAAGGTTCTAGGATGTCATACAAGGTAGTCATCAACCTTATCAGGTAGGGGCTATTAATTAGTCTCTCCGCTATTATTTAGTTTTCCAGTTGGTGTTATCCTTGTAAATCTCTAGAAATCTCACTAGTGTCAGCTCTCTCCTCAAGGCTGTAATGACTCCAACTATTATGGTATCTCTCATCCTGGTCTCCTCTATTCTTACCCCGACTCAACCTTCCCGCCTCCCCCCCCATGTCTTCTACCATCCTCTTATTCCCTTCTCTTTTTCCTGGTTCCCTCTTCCCTCCCACCATGTTCCCACTCTGGTAGGAGATTTTTCCTCTTTCCACTTCTCTGGGGTATCATGCATATATCTTGGGAACGTACCTGTTCCCCAGACTAACTGGCATTGGGATTGTAGGCTGACACTCCCCTGATCCATGTCTAAAATCCATATAGGAGTGAGTACATACCATGTTTATCTTTTTGTGACTGGGTTACCTCACTCAGGATGGTTTCTTCTAGCGCCATCCATTTGCCTGCAAATTTCAAGATTCCATTGTTTTTTGTTTTTCAGCTGAGTAGTACTTCATTGTGTAAATGTACCACATTTTATCTATCCACTCTTCAATTGTGGGGCATCTAGGTTGCTTCAAGGATCTAGCTATTACAAATAATGGTGCTATGAACATAGTGGAACAGACATCCTTGTTGTATGAATGGGCATCTTATGTGTATATGCCTAAGAGTGGAATTGCTGGGTCTTGTGGTAGACTGAGTCCCATTTTACTAAGGAATCTCCACACTGATTTCCAAAGTGACTGTACAAGTTTGCACTCCCACCAGCAATGGACGAGTGTTCCCCTTTACCCACACCCTCTCCAGCATAATCTGTCATTGGTGTTTTTGATTTTAGCCATTCTAACAGGACTAAGATGGTATCTCAGAGTTGTTTTGATTTGCATTTCCCTGATTTCTAGGGATATTGAGCACTTTCTTAAGTGTCTCTCAGCCATTTTAGACTCCTCTATTGAGAATTCCCTACTTAGTTCAGTCCCCCACTTTTTAATTGGGTCCTTTGTTGTTTTGGAGAGTAGCTTCTTGAGTTCTTTGTAAATTTTGGAGATCAGCCCTCTGTCAGATGTGTGGTTAGTGAATATCTTTTCCCATTCTGTGGGTTGCCTTTTTAATCTTGCTGACTGTGTCCTTTGCCTTACAGAAGCTACTCAGTTTCAGGAGGTCCCATTTATTGTTGATCTCAGTGTTTTTGCTACTGGTGTTATGTTCAGGAAGCTGTCTCCTGTACCAATTAGTTCAAGGGTACCTCCCATTTTGTCTTCTAACAGGTTCAGTATGGCTGGATTTATGTTAAGGTCTTTGATCCATTTGGACTTAAGTATTGTGCATGGCGATAGACATGGATCTATCTGCAGTCATCTACATGCCAATATCCAGTTATGCCAGCACCATTTGTTGAAGATGCTATCTTTTTTCCATTGTATAATTTTAGCTTCTTTGTCGAAGATCACCTGTTCATAGGTTTGTGGATTAATCTCAGAGTGTTCAACTTGATTCCATTGGTCTACCTGTCTATTTCTGTGCCAATACCAAGCTGTTTTCAGGACTATAGCTTTATAATAGAGCTTGAAATCAGGAATGGTGATGCCTCCAGATGTTGCTTTGTTTAGCAGGGTTGTCTTGACTATCCTGGTCATTTTTTTTTTTTTTTGCCATATAAAATTGAGTATTGTTCTTTCAAGGTCTGTGACGAATTGTGCTGGTATTTGGTATTTTAATGGAGATTGCATTGAGTCTGTAGATTGCTTTTGGCAGAACTGCCATTTTTACTACATTGATCCTATCTATCCAAGAGCATGGGAGATCTTTCCGTTTTCTGGTGTCTTTAATTTCTTTAAAGATTCAAAGTTCTTGCAATACAGGTCTTTCACTTGTTTGGTTAGCATTACCCCAAGGTATTTTATGTTGTGTGTGGCAATTGCAAAGGGTGATGTTTTTCTGATTTCCTTCTCAGTCCTCTTATCGTCTGTATATAGTAGGGCTACTGATTTTCTTGAGTTGATCTTGTATCCTGCCACTTTGCTGAAGGTGTTTATCAGCTGTAAGAGTCCCCTGGTAGAGTTTTTTTGGGTCACTTAAGTAAACTATCATATCATCTGCAAATAGTGAAAGTTTTACCTCTTCCTTTTCAATTTGTATCCCCTTGATCTCCTTTTGTTGTCTTATTGCTCTATCTAGAACTTCGAGCACAATATTGAAGAGGTATGGGGAGAGGGGACAGCCTTGTCTTGTTGCTGATTTTAGAGAAACTGCCTTGAGTTTCTGTCCGTTTAGTTTGATGTTGGCTGTTGGTTT